GCATTTTGCTTGTAAACTCCTGATACAGTCTAAATGAGTTCTCAGAGTCACCCCGAACTGACAGAGAATTTTGATGTAAAACCATCATAAAAAATTGTGGCACACAGTGAATGCCAACCATGAAAAAACTCTAGGCGTACTTGAGATGACAGAGAGAAACAGAGAGAGGGAGAAGTATAGAGATCTAATCTGATGTATAAGTAGCTGGCGGGAAAGAAAGGGTGAGCGTGGACAACTAAATCACAGATAAAGAGGGATGCCTGAGGGGAAAACAGTTTTCAAAGAGATTCTTCCTTAAGAGACATAGCACGAGGTGACTCAAGTTAAAGGATGATTGAGGCGGGAGGGATCAAATCGGACACAAATGACCATGTTAAAAGCAAAAGCAAAAGATTCAAACCCACGAAGACGAGAGGACACTCACCCCGCAGTTTGAAGAGATCTCCATTCGCAGCATAGACTGTGAACATGAAGGGAAACTCGTCGCTTAGGGCCACCGAGGAGCCAATGAGGGGCAGAGACCCTCGTGGCTTCTGGTCCTTATTGTGCTCGTTGATGAAATACTGAAGTTGGCCAAGCTCAGGGTCCAACACAAAGTACCTGCATGACGAAAGACAGAGAGGAGAAGATGATGACATTACAACTAACCTGGATTTTGACAGCGAGTGATGCCTGATGTGTTCTGAGTGTATTGCATTATATGCATTTTCTAGGGTGTTCTCGTTGGTTTTGCTATGAGGTTGCTCAAATTTTGAGTGGTTGAAAATTCTAAGTCTGATCGCTTAGAAAAGTAGCAGGACTTCTTCTCAAAATGCTGCAAGAATTAAGGTATTATTTATGTCCGTAACAGAAACCTGTCGGGCGAGTTACAATATGCACCAAAGTTTAATACTTCAAAAGTATGAGCAGTAGTAACAGTGATGCTTGCCTTAGAAAACACAACATACATGCAGTATAACTGGCCTACAACAAAAAGCTTATGAGAGCTTTACGGTGGCCATTATTACTGTCTCTCTCTCTTTCTATCTCATTATTCGTGATGCATTACATGCCATGTCTGGTTCCCCACTGTCAGAGCCAACCAGAGAGGTGCTTTATACGGGATCGTAACTCTGCAGGGAATGGATTGTAATCACACGGTTTGGGTGCTATAACACAACAGCCACCCTCTTAGTAAAAAATGGATGTGCTGCCAGTTTCTCTTCCACAGTCTCTCTGATGGGGTCTCTGAAAGCTAGGCATACACACATCATTATTTTAAAGAGCAGCTAAAAGTATGAAGATCAAAGCAGCAACAAATGCATTGCTTTTGATGGTGCAGGACAGACAATCACTGTGGACCTTTGGTGACATTTGCTTACCCCAGTGTGAAAAAAGAACATTGTGTTATACCGCATCACCCTTTAAAAAATATACCCCCAGTTTCACAGACAAGGCTTAAGCCTAGTTCCAGACTAAAATGCATATTTGAGCTTTTTTAACTGAAAATCTTACAATATGTCATTGCCATTGTTTTGTCTAAAGATGCACACCAGTAATGTTTCAATCTAAGGCAAGTTTATAAAAGCTACTTAAATGTCCTAATTAAACTAAGACCTAATTAGACCTAGTTTATTCTATGGCCTGGTTTCACAGGGCTTAGATTAAGCTAGGATTAGGTCTTAGTTTAAAAAAAATTAAAATATACATAAATTGTTATACATTTTAATAACATGTTTACTTTTTTATGTATTTACTTTTGGTCACATTTCACACACACACACACACACACACACACAGACACAGACACAGACACAGACACAGACACAGACACAGACACAGACACAGACACAGACACAGACACAGACACAGACACAGACACAGACACACACACACACACACACACACACACACACACACACACACAGACACAGACAGACACACACACACACACACACACACACAGACACAGACAGACACACACACACACACACACACACACATATACACATATACACATATATATATATATGCTGGTACCATGGCACAATGTATTGTATAATACGTTATAATACCATTTCTATATTATTTACATGCTATTCAAAAATGCATGGTTTTACAAAGAATAGCTTGACATATTATGTGACATAATCAAACTCGAACTGTGCTAACATGCTCACATGTGTGTCTGTCAGTGGGGGAATTAATTACATTTGTGATAGACATTCTCTTAGCGGTTCTTTTCAGCAAGTTATTCTCTCCAAGGCCCAATTCTCATCAGGTCAAAATATTGAGTGGTGTGGAAACCTCTCTCTGTTATACACACACACACCCACAAATCATTAAGCACTAAACAGTGACTAGTGCTGGGGTTAACGTGAGGGCTATTTCTGAGCCATTGCGGAGGGCCAGTAACCCTGATGCTCGTTATTTGCTTGGCCTGTTTCCTTATCGATCGTTGGACTAAGCAAGAGAATGAGCACAACATTATAGATGTGAGGGATTTCCCATCACGGATGAGTCATAGTCTCTCTCCCAGATGAAAGAGCCTTAACTGTGGGCTGTGCTGCACTCAACCCTGCAGAACACACAACCATGAAATCCGACAAAAACAAAAAACCTCCTGCTCTCAATGAGAGGCTCTTGCTTTGGAGTGTTTCTGCACAGCTCAGCTGTTAAAGGACTCATTTCACATTTAGATTCCTGACTACAAATAGACACTTACATTTTTGGGAAGGTCCTCTAAAACATAGGACTATTAATGAAATCATGATATTTTGATGTGTTTTTAAAAAGCAGAAAACTTTCCAGATTAGAGTTTGTGTCTTTTGTAGAGATACAACCAGTATACTAAGCATACTAATGCAATTACACTATATACAATCTGCAATAAGACTGTAGGATAAATCAAATCATAAGACAATCGCCTATTACATAACACCAGAACTTAGATAACAGGTAGGCAAACTAAGAGGTGGGATCTTCTATCTCAATAGATTGCATCAGATTTTACAAAATGCAACATTACTGGAGTCTTATTTGATAAAAATATTTTATTTTATATAATATAGAGTGATGTCCAAATCAAAAACCTTTAGGAGAATCATCAAACAAAGATTTGACATTCTGTATAAGACATTCTATATACAGAATATATAACCAAACTGTTTACTTCATGCATGATGTCATAACGGATCGACATCAATTTCATTATTCATTTATATTGTGCTATATTTGACCAAAACTTAAGATGCGATGGAAGTACGAGGATAAAGCTGCCCATATGCTCAGCATCAACAGGGGGAGAATCCCACAAATTTAAACAGTGAAAGATATAATTTCATTCATGCATAGCGTCATATTGCATTGGAATAGACCGCTTTCTTTGCATTGCTGGAAGATGACGTGTCTTCATTCTTTGATCCAGATACTGATGTCATGAAAATGAAGGAATGATATGATCAGAAATGTGAACAATCTTCATCATATTGGACTAATAAACCTGCCACATTTAGTAAGGGTTTAAAAGTTGTAAAGAGTGAGCAAACGCCCAAAAAAAACTCTTTACCTGCTCTGCCAACCTTGTAATAAATTGGTGTATTTGTTCAAAATCCCCTCCAAGTGTCTCTTCTGGGTCTGAGATGGATGAGAGTCCGAAACAGCCCCTGATCCCGGACTATACGAGCCGCTTCTTGCCTGTCTCTGTGCGGGATTCCCCAGATCCGCGGAACACTTTCCTTTACTGCTCCCTGAATGCGACATGTTCAGTGTTTTTTCCATGATTATTCCAAACTCTGGATCATACAATATGACGATTCAAAATCCAAATCCACAGTTTCAAAACCAAACCAAAGATACTGTTAAAATGATCATCGTATGGAGAGGACGTGATTGGAGATTACTTTCATTTTTTTATCTTGCTGCCTTGCCTTGGACTCTTTAATGGGCTTCTCTGTGTTTCCATTGGAATCAGTGTGTGGTCACTCCCCTCCCGCTCTCCTCAAACAGGAATGCTGCATCAGGAAGGCGAGACGAGTGAACGCAAAGCCACGCCCCCTCATTATCATAGGCACGAAGAAATAATAAAATGAATGAAAAAAGTGAAATAATAATAAATAAACGAAATAAAACAATACAAATTAAATAATGAATAAGTATAAAAATATTCAACAAATTATAAAAAACTCACCTTATCATTTATTTATTTATTTAAAATGAACTCTCTTGAAAAATGTACTTTCACTAGTAATTAATTTGTAGACTAATTATGTTGCAAGTGGCCGACTCATTTGTCTTTCTGTCGCTAATTTCTGCTAGCTACTTAAGATTAACTTATGATTTATATTTTCAACATTTTTTTTCTGTATTTTGTTATTTTGTGTACGTTGGGGTGAAAATTATACTGTGATGTCGTAATTAATAATAACAATAATAATTTCCACGCAAAAAATAATTTCCATTCATTTTTTTGTGTTTTCATATTTTAACATTTGTAATTTGTGTGTGTGTGTGTGTGGGGGGGGGGGGATAATTTCCATTCATGTTTTTATATTTTCATATTTTAGCATTTGAAATTGTGGGTCTGAGACAAAAGTAGATCAAAGTCTTTACAAAAAAAAAGGCTAAAACAAAAGATAAGCAGTAAAAAAGTTTCCAGGTTTTGACCACCACATTGCAAAAAGAAAAGGATGGAATAGGTGTAAATGTTGTTACTTCTATGAGCAACATGTGAAAAAAAGAAAGAAATTAAGAAAGAAAGAAAACTATGAGGATGCATTAATTTAATGGATATTCATATAATGAGCTATAGGTTTACTGAATAGGCTATTGTTAATTTTTTTTTTTAGGTTTAAATCTGCTCAAGTAGAATGGATAGCCTAATTATTTCCATATAGTGCTATACACATAAACTGAATTAAATGATCCTCCAATGTGTGTCAATGTTTTTACAGCAACTATTTTAATCATCTAAAAGAAACCTGTAGAAATGAGAGAGAAAACTACAACTCCCAGAATTCCTAGATATCATTGATGACGCAGTCAAAAGTGGACCACCACGTTCCCTCCCACCGAGAAACTGCTTGACTTTATAGTATTATTGCCTATATTGTTTACTTGAAACATTTATCCACTAGTTGATCGCAAAGGTGGCGATGGCTGCTCCGCTGAAAGTATGTATTGTTGGTTCAGGAAACTGGTGAGTATGAACGTGTAATGATTAGATATGATCAATATGTGATTGGTAATGAGATTAATATATAGAACATATGGCGTGGACCAACTGCTATAGCTCAGACAGTACTTACATTAACTGGAGCACAAGTTTAATTGCCTGCGTATTCATATCGATGTTCAGGTCCATATGTTAAACATTGTTATTCTGGGCAAAATCAAGTGATTAATGGAGCTGCATGCTGCATAACACTCATTTGATTGCAGCTGGCAAAACAGATTCTCAGGGTTGTAAACCCTGCTTGAAACGTCTCAGTGAACTGCTGTTTAACAACAGACTGGCATTTTGATTAAATATACTGTTGTGTTGTACTGTGCCAAGGGGCTCCGCTATTGCAAGAATTATTGGCTCCAATGCACAGAAACTCCAGTGCTTTGCCACAACAGTCAAGATGTGGGTGTTTGAAGAAACGGTCAATGGGAAAAAGCTTTCTGAGATCATCAATACAGAGCACGAGAATGTCAAGTATCTTCCAGGCTACAAACTCCCAGAGAATGTGGTAAGACAGTGGGTGGGGTGCGTAAATATTGTTTAATGCTAGCTTGATCTGATGTGGAAATAAGTGTCAGATTAATGGTGTTTTTCCGGTAGGTTGCTGTGCCGCAGCTTCGGGATGCGGCGGATGGTGCCGACCTCCTGGTTTTCGTGGTCCCTCACCAATTCATCCGGAAACTGTGCGATGAGATGGTCGGCTGCGTTTCGGAGAAGGCTCGTGGAATTACACTAATCAAAGTGAGAATACTCTGCAAATCTGCATTGTGCAGAATTGACTTGTATTGAAAGGCTTCCTAAGCTATACTGAAGAGGGAAGGTTTTATTATGGGGTAGTTAACTTGTGGCCTAATGGTTAGAAAGTTGGACTTGTAAGGTTTGATCCTCAATACCGGCAGGAAATGGCTCACCCAACCACTAATCGCTCCCCGAGTGTGTTCACTACTCACTGCTCTTAATGTGTGTGACTGTGCACTAATTCAATCCCACAATGCACCACAATACCGAGTGTACAACCGATGTATGCTCAACGGCTAGAGAATACCCATAATGCACTGTGAGGGTCGCACACTGAATGAATTCCCCTCGTCTGACCAGAAGATGGTGCCCGCAGCTGAATTGTCCCTCCATCAATTTTCAAAATTCGCTGGTCCAATGTGGGTATAGCGTAATACCATACAGGTATAACTTCCTTTTTAATTGATTGTTAAATTGTTTAATTAAGGTTTATACATAGTTTCCATGACAGAGTTCAAGATAAATCTTTTCATCTTATTACTGGAGCTGCAAGTTTGCTAAATTTCAAACGATTATTAAACAGCAAGCACAAACAATGCAAAAGCAGCAGCCCTTCCGGCACACTCGGTGTCCGAATTCGCTCACTCATCATTCACTCCCTCCAGTGAACTATATTAGTGGACTAATGTAAAAAATAGTGATTGGGGGTATAGGGGGCTATTTCGGACACAGCCCAAGTTTTGGTCAAACCTTGAGAATCCTCTTCCATGCAGACAGGATGTTCAGGACTGAAGAATGCTGAGAAGTCTCAGACTTGATGTCTTTTTAAAAGCTCAGCACAGTGCACCATATGTGGAGTGACTCATGGGTAAAAAAGGACCCTCTGTCCTGCTGGCAAAAACTCTTTGCGTGCAAATTACCTCCTGGTGCTAGTTTGTCTCCTCTGTTACTGACTATGCCACCCAGGGCTTCATCTCTGTAGTTGTACCTCACCAAATTAAACGTATCTTCTTCACTTCGCTATTTGAAAAGTAGCCTCATTACATTTCTCACAGTGTTCCGTGTTTAATTTGAAAAGATATGGTTTGTCTGTTTTCTTTTTCAGATTTCTGCCCATTTCCTGTGTACTCATTCCACCTCCCTTATTATTTTTGTTCTGCTTTGGTGTTCCTCCTCATTCTTTGAGTCATTAGGCAAAGATAGTCCTCCTAACATCTGTGTTTCAGAGTTATATCTACTGAGGGGGAAATGGTGTGACGCTACATTAAAAGAACGTTGGTGTTGATAGAATTCGCTCTTTTTTTCCTTCTCTGTAGGGCATAGATGAAGGACCAGAAGGATTGAAGCTCATCTCTGACATCATCCGGGAAAAAATGGGCATCGATGTCAGTGTCTTAATGGGGGCCAACATTGCTAATGAAGTGGCGGCCGAGAAGTTCTGCGAGAGCACCATTGGTGAGTGAATGTAAACTGAGAAAATACTGTAGATAGGGTGCTTGTAAGGAACCACATAGACCACGAACACACTGCGGGTAAATTCAGTTCACCTGTTAACGTTTAATCCTGTTCTGTATAAGTTTAATTTGCAGCAGTGACAACCGCATTTACAAAATGTTGCATTGTGTACGAAACCGAACTGGACAACCAGTTGTTAAAGGGGTCCTATTATGCCCTTTTTAGTCTAGATTTTGTTTTTGGTGTGTACTAGAATATGCTTGATTGTTCAAAAACACATTCTTTTTCACATATTTTACATTATTACAGCTCCTCTCTCCCCAGTCTGGCTCGAACGCGTCGTTAGTTCGATGAAGCCCCTCCTTCCGAAATATGAAATGTGCTGTGATTGGTTAGCTATCCCAGTGTGTTGTGATTGACACCACGTGTTTGGGAAATGCCACCCCCCTTACCTCACCGTGAGTTTCATCTGCTCAGGTGTAAATATTAAGTATGGTGTCAATTTCAAGCCTGATTCAGACTTAAGTATGTTTAATGGTTAATTTTTCTAAGGGGTGGTGAACAGTATTACAAAAGTGAGAGCTTACAAAAGCTACAGTAAACACTACATCAACACTAATGTTGGCTAGCAGGCGAGCGCAGGCAAAGCTCTGCCCTTTGTTTACATCGTAACAACAACATAAAACGTATAATTGGAACTGTTAATAGAAAATGCAATTCCAAATAATAAGACATACTTACAAGTTTTGATCCATAAACAACAGATCGTCCCGACAAAGTGAGAACTGATCCGTTTTGGGAACAGGGTGGAAAAAAACCAGCTTCTCTTTGACAGCATCAACACCGTCTTCTCTAACACAGCTCAGCCAGGCCTCATCCCATTTTTTTGCATATTCCATGGGCGGGGATTGTTTTAATGAGTAACATTATGACTTCATACGATCCGGAAAAAACACTTTGTAGTCCAAACGAGTCGTTCGTTGTAGTTCTTGGAAAGTGAATTCTGTTAAATAAAATATCTCTTTGTGGAGTGGACTTTGAGCTTCGTAACCTTGCAGGTCTTTTTTATGCTTAAACAGCAACATTACAGACTAACTAAAGTTGAAAAATTGAAAAGGCAATTTAGGATCCCTTTAATGGCATATTTAAAGGCACGTTAGAAAAATAAGACCAAACTAGTGCGACCTGCACCTTCCCACTTTAATAACTCCATAAACTTGATCACTTTATAGCAACCCCAAAAAACGCTTAGAATAAGTGGATATGGCAACACTTCAAGAGAACGCTCTGCAAAGCAGCCTTCCAAGAATAGACAAACCACGACGGCTCTGTTGGCAATGATTTAGTTAAAATAGTAGAACATAAATAAATATATATATATAACATGAGTATTTGGATACTGTAATATTACTTTGATCAAAAATAGCGGATATCAAACACACAAGGCAGCAGAACATTGCTATGGTGATTACCACAATGTCAGTCATCGCAATTTCTTGAGCAAACTGTGTTCCGTACACACACAATGAAAATATAAGGGATTCACTCTCATGTTTAAATGGGTGTACTGTAGTACACATAGTAATTTCCTCAAAAGCAGCACCATGGGAAATCTCAACAAACATTTTGTTCGATCCACAGGCAGCAAGGTGTTGGAGAACGGCCACTTGTTCAAAGAGCTCCTGCAGACGCCTAACTTCAGAATCACCGTGGTGGATGATGCTGACACAGTAGAGCTCTGTGGAGCCCTCAAGGTAAATATCAGTCTTGTCTTGCTGCTCATCCCAAGGGAAATATCTGGATGCAGGCACCTGAGATGCAGGGCTTCGGGGGCACGACTCAGACCTCTGTGTAAAGAAGAGCTTGCGCTGCTGAATTTACAATTAGATGCTGTAAGGCCGCTGTCTTCCTCCTCGTAAATACATTGTAAAAATCGTTGTAACATTGGCAAGTTTTGACAAATATTCTGGGTTATTTATAACCTAAAGAGATCTTTCATTCGCCCTCATTTCATTCCAAAACTTTGACTTACTTTCTTCTGTGGAGCATAAAAGAAGTTTTTAGAAATGTCTCGGTGGCATTATTTTTATCCATACAATGGAAATCAATGGCCACCAAAACTGTTTTGTTACCAACATTCTTCAAAACCTTTTCTGTGTTCTGCAGAGGAAAGAAAGTCATACAGGTTTGGAGTGACACGACGCTAAATAAATATAACAGAATTTCTATTAAAAAATGATGTTGCAACCCCATAATATATTATGATTTTTATTTTTATTTTTTGTAATATGTTAAATAAAGAATGTACTTTTTCCCCCCATATAATAAAAGTGAATGGGAATTTAAGCTGTCAACCTCGAAAGAGACAGAAAAGCACCATGAAAGTATCGTAAAATTTGTCCAAATGTGTCTGCCAAAGCCAAATTATAGCTTTGTTACGCTTTGATAAACAGTCCCAAATCTAACTTATTCTCTTCCTCTCCGCTGTAAATTTGTGCATCAGCTGTAAAGTTATTTCCATCATTTTTGAGGAGGGACTACTTTTCTAAGTGAATCATCTGTTGGTTATTTGTTACATTCTTTTTCTATGTAATTGTATATCTGCCATAGATTCTGCACATAGACATGTCCAGCCCAGAATATTTATGTAAAGTCCATTAGTATTTGATTTGCCAAAGTTACCAATAGGCTTTATGCCGAACGTCACATAAACAAAACAGGAAAACATGTCTCATTGCATCTGCTTGTCGGAGAAAGTGTTAACGACAGTACGAACTGACGGCGATATCTATGGACTTTTGAGGTAATCAGCAAACCTAGTTCGTTTTTTTTTTATTGTGTTGGCGTTTTATTCGATTTAAATATCTAAATGTTAGTGAGAAGAAGCAAAAGTAAAACATTTTTTAGATATCAATCTGCATATGCGATGGATGCTTATGCTTATCTTTGCTTGCTCCTTTTAAAGGCGTCTGGAGTAAAACTGCTCTATACAAAAGACCTGAAATAAAGAAAGAACCGGAAGTAATGCAACCTGTTTAAATGAATGCAGAAGTTTGTTGCGTAGAACCCCCGATTTAGATCTTACTGGTATTCTAATAACCCTTGCTTGCTTATTTCACCATTATTTTGAGCATATTAGAACAATTTCTGAAGAATCATGTGACACTGAAAACTAAAGTAATGGCTAATAAGAATTCAGCTTTGCAATCACAGGAATAAATTGCATTTTAAAATAAAAAATGATTTTAAATTGTAATAATATTTCATAATTTGACAGTTTTTAATCAAATAAATAAAGCCTTGTGAGCAAAACAAATCTTACAAATCCCAAACTTTTGAACAGTAGCGTATATAATATAGCATTTATGCTTTTATCGCTTACAAAGTTAATAGGCTGGACACTAATTTGTACCATATTTCTGGAAAGTGCTGGATGCATTGCACCATTCTGGCATTCTAATAACCTTTCCATCCTTATTTGTCCCTGTTTTAGAACATTGTTGCAGTGGGCGCAGGCTTCTGTGACGGTCTGCGGTGTGGAGACAACACCAAAGCAGCCGTCATCCGGCTGGGCTTGATGGAGATGATCGCTTTCGCCAAACTCTTCAGCAAAGACGATTCCGTGTCCTCCGCCACATTCCTCGAGAGCTGCGGCGTGGCTGACCTCATCACCACCTGCTACGGAGGACGAAACCGTCGCGTGGCAGAGGCTTTTGCCAGGACAGGGAAGGTAAACAGAAAACCCATCCGTTTCTGTTTTTCTCCACTTGCCTGATGGCATGTAATGTACGTTTTATGGATTGAAGGAAGATGCTGAGCATTAGGCACATTTGCTGATGCACAAAAGATCAATACAGATTTATTTTTCTTTCAGAGCATCGAGGAACTTGAGAAGGAGATGTTAAATGGACAAAAGCTTCAGGGACCATTGACTTCTGCTGAGGTTTATCACATCCTCAAACAGAAGGGCCTAGTGGATAAGTATGTGTAACCATTTTGTGGCTGTCATGTTATTATAACTCTATTATATATTTGCATTAGCCTTTATGTCGGTTGACATTCTCCTGACATGGTGTTCATGCACGTGACACAATACTGAATAAAAATCTAAAGTTAAAAAATTGTATCCTAGCAATACAGTCCATATAAAAGAGATCTGATTCTAGAATTTTATAATGTGCTTATTTTTGATGCATTATAAGACATTTGCAGAGTAAAAATCTCTTTTTTTTTATGTATGGAATTATTATTTCGCCGAAGCATCTGAAAAGTGTGGTGATTTTCTAGTAATTCTAGTAAACAAAATAAAAATACCAATTAAATGCTTTTAAAAAATGTGCCAGGATGTCAAAATTATAACATGATTTTAATTATTGGATAATAATTCCCATTTTAGAGAAAGTACGGACATTTGTTGCGTTTAAACTAGCTACTTGCTAATTTTAGAATGTTAATTTTATTAGAAATTTTTATTTAGATAAAAAATGATCTTACATACACTACCGTTTAAAAGGCTACATTTTAATTCAGCTAAGATGTATGAATTTGTTCAAAACAGGCATTTTATAATGTTGCAAAATTTTCTATTTCTTTCTATTCATTAAAGAATCCTGAAAGGAAATGTATCACATTTTCCACAAAATATTAAGCAGTTTGCAACATTGATAATAATAAGAACTAAGAAATGTTTATTGATCAAATCAGCATATTAGAATTATTTCTGAAGGATCATGTGACACTGAAGACTGGAGTAATGATGCTGAAATTCAGCTTTGCATCACAGGAATAAACTATGTTTTAAAATGTATTAAAATAGAAAACGGGTATTTTAAATCATATTAATATTTCACAATATAACTGATTTTACTGTCATTTTAATTAAATAAATTCAGCCTTGGTGACAATAAGAGACTTTTTCTCAAAAACATAAAAAAAATCTTAGCAACCAAACTTTTGAACAGTAGTGTACCTAATACTAGAAGGTGGGATTTGTGCTTTTATCACCTAAAAAAACAACAGGATACATTGGGATTATTCTTTATTTAACAGACTGTGTATTATTCAGAGTGACTTACAGAACATGTCTACTGCTGTGACAATCCTCCTGGAGCAACCTGGCGTTTAAATGACTCGCTCTAGGGCACAATGTTCATTGTCAAGATGCATTTACAAAATTGGTGACATCTCAAATCTGCATTATTCTCCAGGTTCCCCCTGTTCACGGCTGTTTATCAGATCTGTTTCGAGGACAAACCGGTTCAGGACATGATCACTTGCATGCAGAGCCATCCAGAGCACCTGTGAGTGTCTGACAGGGACCAGAACCCCCGGCGACTGCCCCCCTTCTCCACCCCCGTCCCCTACGGTCTGTTAGGTGCTCCAACCTCTAACACTTCTCATTTTCTATTATATACTCATACAATGTTAGATTTTAAGCTTCTCTTTTCCAGTTTTTGACTAATGGTTAGGCTTGAACTCAGGGGTTTGCCTCCGACCTCGCAGGTTTTGTGCATGACAGAATGTACGCAGTTTTTCTTTTGGAAAAGCCATGTGTTGTTCACTCTGTTTGAGCCAATATGGAGTTTTTAACTATTTTCTCTCTGTCTGACTGCCCTCTTGTGGATGGTCCACAATATCACCTCACTGACAGATGAGATGAAATGCCTATTTTTATTTTTTTTAAATGACCATAGAGAGATCTAATCATAAAAGTTCACTCCACGTCCACATTGAGAGCAACACGACGCGACTAGAATCAATGAATAGCATGAGTGTTAATATCCTGTTGAACCAGCACAATACCACTATCCTTAATAAAACAGAAAACAGGGGGGTTATTTTACACATCGTTCGATACTTTACTAAGGTTTAATACTAAGTATACACATTCATTATTTCAGTTCTGATTGTTTCATGTTGATAAATGTTGAAACTTCCATTTACACCTAACATTTTGGGAGACATTTGATTTAGATTTCTTTAAATGTGAAGATGCCTTACTGGTCAGGAACATTTCTCAGACAGTTCAAATAATACTTTAATGGACTCACTTTGGGTTTGAGGTTGTTTTGTTTTGTTTCAAATGACAATATATTCTATAAAAGGGGCTGAAATCTGTCATCTCAACTTTCCAGCAACCCCCTTTTAGGACTGAAAACTTGTTACAGAACAACATTGTTGACTACTACAACTTTTATTGTGTTAGTGTTAAAATAATACAATGTTGCATATCTAAGCTTCAGGAATGCATTAACATCTTGTTTGAAACCCCTAATCGTTGATGTAGTAATCATTCTAGCATCCTGAAAAGCTGAACAACAGTTCACGTTACCGTTTTAGTACTCACATCTTTATGGAGATTAGCATTAAAAATACTTAATCTGTAGTTGTACTATGAAAATGAAGGAATGAGATCTGTATTTTTCAAACAAGGGAGCTTGTTAGGTGATCAGCTAGTGTTTGAATCCATAATGGCCTTTTTTTAGCACTGTACTGTGCTTACAAATCGGTTAGGTCATACCTAACCCTAACCCAAAAAGATTAGTTTTTTTGCATGTAGCTGTTACAGTGTGTCTATTATTCCTGTGTTGTTTTTATTTTTTCAGTGTTCATGTAAGAGTTTGAATCATATAAAAGTATTCAACTGTGCAAATGTTGCAGTGAGCTCAGTGTAACACTCCAGTGGATGAAGTATATCAAACTGCTCCATGTTGTTTAATGACCCGTCCTGTATTCTCTCCTCTGAGAATGTGATCATCTTTGCAAGTTGTTCTAACAAACATCATCAAGGCTGAACTTTAAACAAATGCTGCTTTTGTAAGTAACCAATAAAATAATCTCTGTGTTTGTTTCATTAATGCATTGATCTTGGTTTAAATATGAAGCAACATTTTAAGATCCTAATGTAGCATAAGATGTGTCACAATTTAGACTGTAGATCACAATTTATGTGGAAGAACTGAAAACTTAGATAGTTTTAATTAATATCATAATATATCTAAATTAAAATACAATCAATATGTAAACTCTAGATCACAAGTTATGTGGATGAAGAACTGAAAACTCAAATTATATTATTTATTTTTATGGTTTTAATGCATTAAAACTATCTAAATTAAAATACAATCAATATGTAAACTGAAATAATAATAAAAATTACCCTCAATAACTTTTTTTATTGAAGAACATGCAATTAAAACTTATGGTAGGCCTATAACAAAATAAATTGTGGTTAATTTACACACACACATATATATGAGTGTTGATCACACTGAATGTGGTTGATGACAGGCTTGGTTGCTCTTGCATAAACTAATATATATATATGATCAACACTCACCAACTCAGAAAGGAGTTTGGAGGACTAAAATATTCAGAGTAAATGTATTTAACACATTTCATTAAATATTGAATAAAGATTAACTAAATAAATACTTGGATGAAATACCTAAATGTGTGTGTCATTAAATTGTATATATATATATAATGTGTTTGTACATGTATTATAGTTATTATATTATCTATTATCATATAGGGGTCCTTTGCATATTATTTTGGCCTTTGAATAAAAAAATTTGAAAACCACAAAATATACAGGAAGTTATATATTAATATCAATGTGTATGTGCTCTGTGCCAAACACCATTGGCTGTATTTATTCCTTTTTTTTTTCTTAAAGTGTAACTTCACTCAAACTGATAATGCTGATAAAATATCCTATTTAGATTTTTTTTATGAGATTTCTTCCTGAACACAGATACATGATTTATCTTCAGAATTTCAAGTTGCAGCACAAGATAAATGGTGGTAAAAAATATTTTATTCCAGAATGCATTTTTTTTCTTTCCTCTAAATGGGACACAATGTATAATAAAATACAACTGCAAAAGTCCCCGAATCAGGGATTTTGAGTGTCAACGTTTTGCAAAACAAAAACCTAAAACAAAGATAAAAAGGGTAACTGCACAGCTCCTTCATAGAAGCCATATATGTACATCCTGTTGGACATCTCTAACAGGACAGTTTCATTTCTATGAAACACTGAATAGCCTCTTTGAAATCAACCTCTGTTCCATTTTCTATCATATTTTCATGTTTTTGTCTCTTTTTGCCCATACGCTTATCACAGTTTTTAAAAAAAACTGTCATTATTAATGATTCTGATGTTATGTATATAGTTCCTTCCTGCTATTGATGATCCTTCAGAGGCTCATAATGACTCAAATGTTTAACAAAATGATTTAACAAATAAGCTGCATGGACTTGATCACTCTCACAAACATCTATATACATCTATCACCATCTACACACACAGAAATATATTTTTAAAAGAGCAGATTGGTCATTTCAAGGAGCAGTCTGAGACACAATCTGACCAGAAGAAATGCTTGAATCCATGTCAAACTAGTCTTCATCATCATCATCATCACCAAAGGACAGCAGACTGTTGTTCTTCACCTTCACACCAGCTTTTGACTCTTTCTTGTCGCCATCCTCGCTTTTCTTCTTCTTGCTAGAGCTGGCCGTAATGCCTTTGAATTTATCAGAGGAGCGTTTGACAGGCTTCTTAAAGACGATCTTTCCGTCAGATGGAGGCTGTTCATCTGGAGAAAATGAAAGCATTTACTTTATACTCACTGAACACCAGAACATTAAGGGAGACTGGATTGATTTTCTACTTTTCCTATCATAACTCACAGACCTCTACAAATGTACCTGCCAGCTTTGTTATAATAAACATGTATATGCGTCGCAAGTAACTATCATTAACAAACCAGTAACCAGACAGAAATAATATAAAATTTAAAGAAGCCAGAGTGGGAGTTTGCAACTTGGGCAAAACTGAAAAATTATATTGCATATTTGCTCACCGTCTCAAATAAAAGCACATAATAAAACTTGCCTAATAGTAATTATTTATGTTACTGAATAATTTTCTTCAGTGAAAAGACAATAAAATTGGGATATAAAAAAATATCAATTCAATCCGTCACAGTAGTCTATACAATGAGAACAAATTGCCATTGCACAACCTTCGAGAACAGCCGCTTAGCAATTTAAATATTTAAAATGTGTGCAAATTTCACCGCAAAAGATCAAAGAGCTTGTATAATTATCTTCTTTCTTTCTTTCTTTCTTTCTTTCTTTCTTTTCATTTTTAGGCAAGAAAAAAAAAGTCTGCCATCACCCACATTCCGTCTGAGTAACACACAACCTAAAGGAATGTGGAGGACTAAAATATTTAATACATTTAATTGGCAAAATAAATATTTAGGTGGAAATTATGTCAGTGTCATTAAAAATCAAACCTTTTCTTATGAATAACATCTTTTAATGTGAATACTGTACCAATATTTATTGTATTCGTTTTATGAAATAACTAGAGCTATATTATGAAACGTAAAAATAATAAAAAGTATGCTTTTATCTATGGAATATTTATAAAAAATAAAAAAACATGCACCTTTATTTAATTGTAATTTAGATAATTATTGCATTCAGAGTATGTGGGTCATCATCAAGAATTTACTTAGAATTGCAATTCTAATGAAAGGTTTGGTTTGATCACATTCTTATCCATGAAAGCCATGCACGTCCAACGCATTACCTGTGTCTGAGTCTGTGTCCTTTGTATCTTTTTTGACTTTCAGAACCTCTTCAGCACTCAGATCTCCCTTCTTCAAGACCACGACCTGCGGCATCTCGTCCTCCCGATCACTGTCAGCACTGTCACCATCATCACACTGCGGCATCTGCTGCTTCTGCAACAACAACATTTACTTCATTTCCCACACTAAACATGTCATGAATACAATAGAGGCCGTCTGACAACCGATGGGCTGCCTAGATAGACAACATTGATTTAGGAGACATGCGTTCAGATAGCATTTTTACGCTAGCATCTCACTATGTTTTGAGGCATGACCAATGTGACTAAAAACACTTACCTTAGTGTCCACTGTCGGCCCTTCTTTATAACCAACATCATTCTTAAATTTCTTCAAAAAAGATGGTTCGGCTGGCTTCACCCATGATACATTACCCTTTTTACTCATTGTGTTTGTAGTTCAAATCAGACTGATAAACTGTAAATGTGCTTAATGTTTCACAAACACTAAACACACAAAAGCCAGGCGTGTAAATTTTGCGTCATCAATAAGTGCCTGGGAATGACCAATCAGCGCGCGCCTTCATGATTTCTTACATTGAGCAGCCAATGTTGCAGGCTACTAACTTTCCACAACATTTCCTCAAGAGGCGCTTGGCGGCTCAGAAAGCCGAATTCTCCATTGAGCCCCGTTTATATTACAGTGTTTCCCCCCCTATTGGAGACATTGTATACTAAACTGTATAATCGATTAGATGTATAGATTTTAATAGCTATTATTTGTTATACAAATGGAAATCCAAAAAAGCAATTCTGACAAACTGACTTTTAAAAATGTGTGATTATGCAGTGATCACAAACGAATGTGATTGGTCCATTATGAACAGCATTGAGAAAAGTAACACGCATCACAAGAAGCCTACATATTTTTCTACATAGGTGATAATTTTAACATAAGTAATCACACTTCAACATTAAAAAGCAATTACACGGGGTGAAGATGTTAAATACGACGTTTTTATTTAGGTCAACAGTGCATGTTTTTTTTTAAGTCCCGCCCATTATTGACACCGTGATTCATGCTGACTGTCACTCTACCTGTTCGATTTATTTCTGTGATGCACAGTAGGAAGTTTCATTATCATTTTATGTCTTAAAATGTTGTCTTATGTCTCAAGATGGTGGTAAAGTAGTGGTGTTACCATAGTCAAGTCTGGGTGAGGCAGTAGGACCGAGCTAGAATTATGTTGCCTGGGGTGTTTTATGCGTTGATCGCTGGGTTTTTGGCAGCTTTAGCATCATCTTCTGCTAAGTTGTCCTTGGGTGCTGATTATCTGAAAGGTGTGTGTGAAACAGCGCGGATCTGGATAGATGGTCAAGGAAACACCACAGGAGTTGATACCACAGCTTGTGACTGGGTAAGAAGTGTTATGTATATATATATATATATATATATATATATATATATACATATATTCTTATATCAGAATAAATGTGTGTGTGTGTGTAAGGCAAGACACCTCAGGTGAATAGGGTAAAAAAAATGTTACTAATAGATATCACCATACTTCACCAGTTGATTGAGTTTAGTCTGAAAAAAAACATTTTATGAAAAGCCAAAATCTTAAAATTGACAGAAGCATTAAAAACACTGTTTTTGCCTGTAGTGTCTCGCCCTGAATGAACAATGAACATAATGTCATTTTAATGTTGTCATTAATCGCAGTTACATATACCTCTGCGGCTGCTTTGTGGTGGTCTTCTGTTCACCTGCAATGCTGTGATGTGGACCTTCTTCGCCAAAGCCCTCCGACACTCGTCTTCCTCTGCCCGGGCCACTGTGACCACCACTGCCTCAAATTTTATCTTCTCTGTAAGATTGCTCAAACCCTCAAGTTCCTATTAGAAACTAGTTACTTACTCGTTTAATATGCATTGTCTTTTTCCCAGGCTATCCTTGGACATGTGATCTTTGGCGAAACTCATGCCACGTTGTGGTGGGTCGGTATCATTTTGACCCTGACAGGGCTTCTTGTCTTGCATGGATCGACTCCTCAGGCTCCACGGGAAAATGTGGAAAAGAAATATGAGTGACAGAACAACACAAACATTGCCTTAATCTAATGCTTGAAGTCAGATGGTGTGTAACTTAAACCATGTAAAGCTATTGAGCTAATAAGAATTATGCACAACTGTATGATATGTGCTGAATGTTTTTATTTCTGTCATGGGATTGTTTTATAAAATCTTTATAGTTAATTTATTATTGTGCTATGTGCATCATGGTAATGTTAATAATGACACGATGCAAAGCCTTGAAATGTGTCTCACTTTGTGCCTACAGTCCTGCCTCAATCATGTAGGTTAATGCATACTTCAGCCGTCAAGGGCACATTATGCAAGTTTATAATAAATTAATTTATACTCTTGGTAACTACTACCTTAAATATGTATGTCATACTGTGTAAATATATAATGCTGATACACAAACACTATTTTATTTTTTAAATGTATTTATTTTTGCTGTATATTTGACCAAATACAGCTGTGGATTTCATTTTGTTTTACTGCTAAACTTAAAGGTGCTCTAAGCGATGTCACGCGTTTTTTAGGCCAAAACATTTTTTGTCACATACAGCAAACATCTCCTCACTATCCACTGGCTGCCTGTCCCCTGAACACACTGTAAAGAAACGCGATCTCTGTAGACAGCCCAGGCTCCACAAACAGCAACAAAAGCAAACTGCGGCGACCCGCTCCCCGAAACATAACAAACTGTTCCAGCCAATGACCGACAAGAAGGGTTTGGGGGCGGGGTTTGGGGGGTTAGTGTGCGGATGAGGAGGAGGGAGGGTCTAGCTAGCCTCCGTTTTGTTTGACAATAGTTCGAACGTCAACAAGAAGTGATGTCACCCAGGATCGCTTAGAGAACCTTTAATGTTTCTCTGATACATCCTTTTTCAAGTCTTCCAAAGTAAAACCTATTTGCACGTGCACTCCAAGTAGTGAACAGGATGCACACTCAGATACATTCATTTTCGTATATTTTTTAATAATCATAAATTACACTGTTTTGGTTCATATAAATTATATTTGGATTAAATAGCACCTGATAAACAAAATGTGCTTTAAAAAAAAATCCACATGCATTTTTAAATGGAAAGTTCTTCTATTGTGTGTCATTTTGAGCAAACCACTGACCTGGACTCTATTTTGAACCCAACCACAAAGGCAGCATCTGTTGAGCACAGCTGGCCATTACAATGTATTCTGCTCAGAAATCACATCTGAAAATTGACTTGGTGCTACCAAGTCAGCCATGAGAAACATCAGGTAATGGAAAAAATCCAAAACATAACAAACAACGAGCCTGTAATGGAAAGATGCACAAGTATTTTTTTTATTTTTTTAAAAAGGTCGTAAATACAATGAAAAAGAAAGATATGACATAGAACAACAATAAAAATAAGCATTATATCAATCAGATCCTGGGATGGTAAATCGGATATGTGTTTTTGACAATTATGGAAAAGTCTTAACAGGTCTACAAATAAGCACCATAAGTTTATATTATCAAATACTGCACCAGAATTTGCATAGTCATGGGTTTATGCCTGTTTCAATGTCAGGCCATGTAGTACATTAAGGCAACATTAGAGATATTATATAATTGTTTTAACTGTGATGATACATCTTAAAAAGGTCCTATAGGAAAAAAGATCTCTTCCAGTTACTGAATACATGTTCTTTTAACCAAAACCAAATTATAAACTCCCGGGCAAAGAATAAAGGTCCAACCAAAAATGGCAAAATATTTAGTGGTCTTTTATTGGTCTTAACCATTTTAAATCACAAAGAAATCACTGGTCAGGAAATAAGCAAGAATTGCACAAACACTGCAGATAAAATAACTTAGCAAGGAATAGCCTTCCCCTCTGTTTTCTTTAAACATTTAAGCCATGTGGGTAAACTTACAGACAGCTTTTTACAGGAAGAAGAGTCTGTGTGTTGTTCCACTCAATGATGTTAATGGCTTCAAGCAGTTCATGAGTAGTTGAAAAATGTCTCCCAGTTCATTTGAGTTTAATGTGAGACCAAATATTCACTATAGGGTTTAAATCTGGACTCTGACCAGGCCAAAACATGAGCCTGATGGACTTGTTCTCAAGCCACTTCTTGGTTGTCTTTGCAATTTGGGCAAGAGGATTGCCGAAAATAACATTTGAATTTATTAAATAACAACTTTTCAATTGTGGGAAGCAAGCCATTCTGCAATATTCTCCTATACTCCAAAGCATTAAATGGCTTTTCACAGTGAAGCAGCTCACCAATACCAGCAGCTAAAAAGGCTCCCCACACCATGACACCTCTTTCTTCACTGTGGTAGAGATGCATTTATTATTAGATTTCTCAGCAGATTTTCGAAGACACCGCTCTGGAGCATCACCATGTGACTCGGGTTTCATCGTGACCCATCACTCCACACACAACTTCCCATATTCTGCCCAAAACTTCACTCTCTTTGATGTTTTTCCTGCTTTTTAAGTAGCGCATTTGCTTAAATCTTGCCAATTTCCTGACCAATAATTTGTGGTTAAAACAATTTAAAGCTTAGTGTTTAGCCATTTTTTCGTTTTTGCCCAGGAGTGTAGACATTACTGCTCCAGGAACAGCTTATATAATGAAGTACATGTTAATGAGCTAATGACAGAGTCACATCTCTCTGTGCATGACACAAGTTTCTCTTTAGAAGAGTGAGATGTATTTTTGGTTGTAAATACTGTTTTAAGGCACATTGGTACAGTACATAAATGTGGTTTCCAGAGGTAAAAAAGAAAAAAGAAAAAAGAAGAAGTAAAATTCAAATATTCACAGTAGTCTCTTTGCAGGTCCAATTGTGCCATTTCAGTCATCAGGAATTAAGCAGCAAACACCTTTACATCGAATAAGGCTCCAGAGGAATTTCAATCACATCCTCCTCAATGATCTCACCCTGTGGGAACATGGGAACAGGAGCAGAAGCATCTTTCTGGCACGAGAGATCTGTGAAAGGGCTCAACCAGGACACAGAAAGAGGACCTCCGAAAGCTGACTTTATAGCTTCCCAGGATGGAGTCTTCTCCCATGTAGGGTCTTCACGCTTCAACTTTTCAATACCCTGCAAAAAGAAAAAAAACACCACATCTGTGATTCTGTGTCTGTTGAAAGAGATAAATATAATCCATATAAGCATGGAAAACAACATCCATAGTGCCAAAAAACGTACATTCCATTAAGTGAACGGAAAAGGAAAGCAAATGGTTACCACCATGGTTAAAAGAAAAAGGAATGGGAAGTGATTTATTTTACTCATGCACCGGCGTGTTTAATAATCCAACTGGAAGAAATGGTTCAACTGTCACTTTATGGGAAAAAAAAAAAATCAAAAACACATGAAGCATGCGGCATGCCTTCACAGCATGTATCTAAAGAAAAAGAAAAACAGACTATTTTAAATAGCATGCGATCAGGCAAAAGGCACATCGAATGTGTTTGAACGGCCTTTATAGCGATAGCAATCAAGCTTACCTCCATCACACCAATCAAACAGGGACATCAGCCTGATTTAATACTAAACGTAATTAGTTGTTTTTAGATTCATTTTAATTCCCCAAACCACAAAGGCTGGATATGTCTGAGCAAGGGAACCATTCATAAGACAACACGAAAGAATAAAATAAATTTACAAAGACTGTTTGGGGAAACTAGGTTAGTGTTAAAGACAGAGAGGAAGTGGACAGAAAGATACAGACCAAGCACATTTGAAAACATTTAGACCCTTTGAGAGATTACAACACAGTGATTTTGCAATGTGAATAGAATTTCAGCTGCTGAATTTCCTGTAATACAACTTTAGACTTTTCAGAAGCAGAGATGGTTTCGCCTGCGCTTGTGCATTTAAGAAATCCAATGTCAGACACTTTAAAAGTGATACGTTGTTACATAAAGCACTAATGACCAAGTGTTTTAGGTTTTTAATTCACCTTTTGACAAAGAAGAACAGAATGATTGTCTTTTTCATACATACTTAAAAGTTCAAGCACATATCATCCGTTCATCATAACAAAAAATGTATATTAATAAAATGGAAAATATATGCAATTAACCAAAACAATGGCAACAATGGTGAATCAATAAAGTTGTCGAAAACACAATTTATCTTTCATGTAAGCCATAAAACATTTAAAAAATGTGTATACTGTATATAAATGTAGTTCATCTTATGGTCAAATTCCCACAATTTCTTAAGCCTGTTCCTTTCTTATACATTTCTGCAAACCAGGTTTATGGAAACATACCAAGTAAATCAGCAATTCTGTTCTGTAATGGTAAGTGCTGTTATCAATCAAATTGTTATGTATCACAGCAAAAGTACTCATAATATCTCAATGCAGAGTCTGTACATTTATAAAATAATTATTCCGATGGAATTATTTTCACTGTTATGGTTTAGGGGTGTAACAATGATCTGACATTGCACTGATTATGGAATTTATTATTTAATAATATCCAATCTACATGTTAAATTCTGTGGTATAATACATGTGAATGCAAAAACTGGTGGATCACTTTGCCAATATTCAACTACAGTAGGAACAGTCCCTTTAGTTACATTTCTTTAAATTACCATGTCAAGTTATTCTAATCAAAAAATCAAAAGTAATCGAACCAAATTGTGATCAGATGTCATGACTGCATCATTTAGTGAAGAATCATTTAGAATCCAAGCTTTGTCAGAACAAATATTTACACCCCTATTAAATTTCCTATCATTTTTTTTATAAAGCCAAAGTCTATAACCCATATTCAAGAGATAGTTCACCTAAAAATGCTATGCTGTTACCTCATGTTATTCCATACAAACACAAAAGACTTTAGTTCATCTTCGAAAGTCCAATTTTCATTTTTGAACTACCGCTTTAAGGCCTGATCACACCAAGAACCATAACAATAATTATATTGGCACCCACACCAACAAATGATAATTCTGTTTATTATAAGTGCGCATGGCAGGTATGTCATCGGCCGCTTAACATTTTTTAGCTGCTTAAAGTCATGTGGTTTCTGATTGGCTGTCACTGTTGTTATAATTCATCAGCTGGAAAAAAAAATAATTCTGAAAGTGATTCCAACAATATTGTTCCTCTATGTCATTATAATTATACAGTAGCTGTGGTGTGGACTTCCCTATTCTCCTAGTATTACAATCAGGGCTTGAAATGAACACCATTTCATTGTGTAACGCAGTCACTCCTACTAGCCACTTTGGTGGGTTGAATTTTACATATAATGAATATTTATTTTCAATTGTAGTCTTTTAAAAAGGCATCTGAAATAATAAACCAAGTGCAATGTAGTGTTGTCAAATATATATACATTTCTCGATGCATATCGATACTGAAATATCTGAAATGCTTCCAATACTCATTTTGGCAGAACAAACACACGATACTAGCTGCGCTTTTCTCGCTCTCATCGACACACGAACCCGCCTCCCCTCACTCACTCCTTTCATTTGCTCTGGATGAATATTGTTGCTGTTACAGGGCTTGAATTTTGGTGTGGGATTGCTCGTATTGCGCATAATTTTACTCAATCCCACAGATTTTGTGCTCACACTCAAAGTGCCCGCATATAAAGCCGTCTCTCAGTACTAAATTGAGTTCTTTTCTGCTGCTTATTGCGCTTAAACTGTCAAAAACACACAAAATAATGTCAAAATGCCAGTCTTGGTGAGTATTCACGTAAACACAGTCAGTTATGTTTTAAATGAACGACAATGCATGTGCAAAAGTATAATGGATCCGTGTGTCAGGTCTTAAAGTGACAGCAGCCTAATGTACCTGCTGTCAAATTATGAAATAATATCAAAAATATCTATATGTCAGTTTTACCCATGGAATCGATGTCAAAATTGTGGCCAGTGAAAATGCTGAGTGGCTAATAACTTTGGAAAACCACTAGCCACGGTGGCTGGTGAGAAAAAAAGTTAATGTCAAGCCCTGATTACAATAGTTATAGATATCGTTATGGTTATTACCATCCTTGGTGTAAATGGCCCTTGGTGTAAAATGTCTTGTATCTGTAAGAATAATAATCCTTTTTAGTGAATGGTTGTCAGTGCTCTTATGCCGTTAACCAGGAAAGAACATGGGTTTTATATCATAGATGGGTATAAGGAATTAAAAGAAGGTATTTCAGAAAGTAGGTTACATTCTGAAGAGATTACAATAGTGATTATATTAGCATAAATTGGCTTCTATAATCTGCACATCATCATCTTTATTTCAGTGTAGCTAGGCAGAGATGCTTGAGAGTATGACATGAAGCTTCCACTTTCTGTTTTTAATTCAAATAAATAAGAGGCAAGAATAATTGGATATGCAATGATTTGTTCCCTGAAAAAAGAAAAAAAAAAGAAAGATGAAGGTGATTTAGTCTCACTGGTAAATGCTCCGCTCAAGTCCGGATTAATTAAAAGACGCTCTTTAAGGGCAGTCCAAGTGCACTCGAGTCTCTAGCTTAAAGCTTCCTGAGCTCAGACCACATACTGGTAGGGGTCGGCTTTCCCGTGTTCGGGTGTGGAAAACGGGCTAAACCATGCTATCGAGAAGGGGTGTCCGAATACCGCCTTCATGTTCATCCATTTTGTTTTTTTAGCCCATCTTCTCTCTTCCTTTTTCAACTGCTCTATGCCCTAAAAACAAGAGATAACCGAGACTTCAGAGTGTGTGAATATTACAAAACAAGAGGAAAAGAACAACTGACCCATTCCATAAAACAGACCTGTAACCATATTTTCATCTTAGATTAGATAATATAGTGATTTTCATAATGAAAAATCATGCCAATAAGTTTATGTTCAGAATAAAATACTAGCATACTGCTTAGTTCAGTGCAGTATACTATACACTGCATACTGCCCACTTATTTTATAAAAAGATTGTGAAACAATGCATTGCGTAATGATATGTATTTCAAAAAGTATTATGCTACAATTATATTTTAAACAGTTTTCATTCAAATCAAATAAGGATTCAAGAAAGTTAAAAAGTACATCTGACATTACCTCAGGGTTATTTGTCACACTAGGAAAATAGGTCAAATTAAGTGCATTGCATTTTGGGATGATGGTTCACATATAGTATTATTCTTGGAAATATTTTTATCATTTCCTTTCAATAAATATGCAATCATTTTAGTTCATTCATCAATCTGAGAAAGGAAGGTCAAGTTGAACGCATTGCATTGTGGGAAATTTGCTTACTGCACACAATATACACTACCATTCAAATGTTTGGGGTCTGTATGATTTTGTAATGTTTTTTATGTTGTTTAATCAAAAATACAGTAAAAACAGTATAATTTAAAATAACTCTTTTCTATTTTTAATATATTTAGATTTAATTTATTCCTGTGATGGCAAAGCTGAATTTTCAGAATCAGAAATCAGTATCAGAAAGAGCTTTATTGCCAAGTGTGCTTACACATACACACAAGGAATTTACCTTGGTACTGAAGCTTCCAGTGAACATATACAAATACAACCACAGAAACATAGTAGTAAAAATTTAAGAATAAATATAAATATTTAAATAAATTCAAAATCAATACTAACAAAAACGCAACATGAAACAACGCCTAAAAATCCCAAAAAAGTATCCGTGTACTTTCTTCAATGAGTTCTATATCTCCAGACTGGTTTGTCTGATGATGTGAACGCGATACCTTCTTGTTACGACGAACACAACGGATATATATTCACCTCAAAGAAGAAGGAACATGCATTGCATATGCGTGTCGCGCTTTTGTTAGTCTTGATTTCTCACAACTTGTGTGCTTTTTCTGGGCGAGATGGAGTGACATGCGGTGCTAATAGGCCGGGAGCCAGGTCCACTCCTCAGGATGTATTTGCTACCTTTTTTTCACTACACTAACATGACCAGTCGTCTAAGTACAGCATGGATAAGCAGCAAAAAGATCTATGAACCAAAGATTCATTCTATTTTATGCTTTAATAAATCTCACATTTGGTTAATTGATTTTGTATGAATGTACCCTATGTTGCACCCTGACCCCAGTCCACCTAGGGGCATAACATTACTCACTTTTCATGCATTTCACTTCATATAGTATAGCAGTACATAAATCAAGTCTCAACTCTTTTTAGAAATATTGTTCATATGCAAAAAAATATGGAATGGTAATGCTTGAAAGTTCTGTTTTCTCCGATTTGAGGTACAGTGGAGAACTTTGGTTATACCAACTGTAATCCTCTATAGAAAGGTCATCTTGGACTTAAATTGAAGCTTATAAACTTGGGAAGTTTTTCACGTACATTTGAGGCATTGATTTGTATAATAAAACGCTTGAAAATGATCACTTTTGATTACAATTTGTCAGGCGGACAGAATCTTTGTTGTCTTTTGGGGTATGTTGAGGCTGATATTTGACAGCAAAAAGGCAGCAATCCCCAGAATAGCCTATTTTTCTGCTAGTTTGCCCTATCTGTCAGGATACACCATGCAAAATTGTAGGGTTATTTGACCATTTATGTAGCTGCAATACCTTAATATTCACAATTACACCATTCTGCCAAAAGCTTTTCCCAAAAAGGGTGTTTTTTGGCCCCTGAGGACAAATGGGGCCGAGTTGGGGGTGGTCATTATCAACTTGTGATGGCCCAAGGTATAAGATAATAGGAAATAATAGTGAAAAAAAGGTAGCAAAAAACATCCTGAGGAGTGGACCTGGCTCCCGGCCTATAACAGAACAAAGCTGAACGCTGGTCACTATTATATGTACTTGGGGTGTAACGGTACATGTATTCGTATTGAACCGTTTCGGTTCGAGGCTTCCGGTTCGGTACGCATACAAACCGAACGATTCCTTGGACCATTTTTCCTGCCGACAAAATTCGCGCTGGCGCGATCACCACAACGTTGCGCAACATCAAATGGCAAACGTAATGAAAGCGGAACGAAACTGCGCTATTGTGCTTCACGGATCGTTTATCAGTTCGGAGCAGCAACATCTGTGCAGCGGGAGCCGATCTCGATCAAGCGACACTGTTAAACTTCATTTAACTTCATTTATTCACTTATTCAACTTTCATTTGTAATGTCATTTCATTGTAATGTAACTTACAACACAGCGCTAAGAGATCCAGTAAAGAAAACATTTGAGTTCGCCATTGAAGTAATAACATCGCTGCGAGATCTAGTGAGAAGCATTCACATTTCTCCGTTATTAACCATAGATCTCTATTAGATCAAACAGCGCTGACGTGGACACCAGGAGAAACATTGTGCCGTGAATTAACTAGTAGGCTAATACTTTACGTCCACAGACCAGCAACATTCACCATGGATTTAATATAGTAACACTAATTGTAACCAGTTTGGCTGGAATAGTGAAATGCTTTCAAGTACTTCACACATCTTTTTCCAGCACTTCAAAACTCAAATATTATATAAATAAATAGCCTATATGAAGAGTTCAGATGCAAAAGCCTCTAAGTGCCATTTGAAATTTTCTTCTAGAATGATCATTTTTATGAAGCTTGTATATTTAAGTTCAGTAATTTCACTCAAATGACAATTAATAGGCAATCTTCATTGCCATTTAAGTGAAATTACTGAACTTAAATATACAAGCTTCATAAAAATGATCATTCTAGAAGAAAATTTCAAATGGCTTTTGCATCTGAACTCTTCATATATTTAAATGTTATTTTTAATGTGATGACCAAAACATTATTTGTTCATCCTTTAAAGATGACACCCATTTATAAACCTGAAAGTTTCAAGATGAAGGAAAACTCACACTTATTTAAAAAATATTTTTTCTTTTAACAAATAGGAAATTTCTCTTACTTTTTGCTGTATCGAAAACGTACCGAACCGTGACTTTAAAACCGAGGTACGTACCGAACCGTGATTTTTGTGTACCGTTACACCCCTAGGACATTTTTTTTTTTTTTTTTTTTTTTTTTACAAATTCTCCTTTTGTGGTCCATAATAGAAAGAAGGGAATACGGCATTAGAACAACACCAGGGTAATTAATTTATGACTTAATTTTTCATTTTAGGGTGAATTATCCCTTTTAAGTGTCACATGATCCATCAGAAATCATTCTAATGTACTGATTTGGTGCTCAAGAAACATGTCTTATTATTATCAAAGTTGAAAACAGTTGTGCTGCTTAATATTTTTTTGTGGAAACCATGATACATTTTTTCCAAGATTCTTCTTCACACATAATTTTCAAATTAAAAAAACAACAACGTTTTAATCAATGCTAATGTCTTTACTGTCATTTTGACTAATTTAATGCACCCTTGCTGAATAAAAGCATTACAAAAATTGAACGGTAGAGTATATACTGCAGAAATAGTACACTACAAGTAGTATGATAGTATGCTATTCTGAGCAGATGCTAAACACCTGCAATTATCAAAGGCATCTAGTGAACAGTATATACATACACCATTGTAGTCCATCAAAGAGAATCTGATGGCAGGGTCAAATAGCATTCTCCTTAGAATAAGTTTTAAAGGATCGAGTTGCATCTTTAGCATGGGAATATATGTGGGTTTTGTTTTCCAGGTCAGTTGTTAGAAATTCACAAGATCATGTGTTGTGTAAGTATGTTACCTACAGCACTGGACCATTTGAACTCATATGTCAGATGTCAATATCACATGTCACCAATATACAGTATATTTTAATAATAAATAGCAAATAAAGCTGCACGATTAATCATTAAATGATTGAAGCATCCAAGTGATTTTATTCCTAAATGATCCTATCTTTTTGTCAGAACCTCTAGTAAATTTTGTTTAGTTGTCTATTCAGAATCCTAATCTCTATTTTAAACAAAATAAATTCATGATTCTCAATTTATCCAGAATCGTGCAGCTCTACTAGCAAGGTACGGTAACATGACAAATAACCAGCATGAATGTATGTTAGCATACTACTATTCTCAATACACAATGACCTACTTATACTTCTTGTATACGTGTTACATTTCACTTCAAGCACAATAGCATTTTAGATAAAACTGTCCACACATTAACCTCAAAATAACAGCGCATATCAGGCCACAAGCACTACCTCCACCACATTCGCCCACTGCCTAAAGGAAGCGATCTCTTACCGTCTCATCTGTGCAGATGGAATGGATTTGGGTGCCAAACATCACAGAGGTGAAGATGAGGAAGAGGAGGGCCTCAAAGCACAGGAGGATGAGGAGGATGACAGTGGCTGGAGGGGAGAAGGAACTGCACTCTTGGGTCAAGAGGGGAGAGGGAACACATACACACGGGATTAACACAAGCTATACAATTTACTAACACAAGCTATAAATTATTTGTAACTAGAAGAAAAAAACAGGGTTAGCGGGCATCTAGATTTGCATGTGCAAACTGGGACAAAACACGGTTGGAAGAATCTAAACATTAGAACATGGGTTAAGAGATTTTATCTTTTAGCTAAGCTTGGTTAGCAACATTCAGCTGACCTGTTTGAAAACACTGATTACACTGTTTGGCATATATGGATTTCTCTGATAATGCGTATCTTATCTGTAAGAAAGCAAATCAAAAGCTATTCTTGCTAAGGATATTGAGAGAATTTTCTATAAGTCAGGTTCTGCAAAGAGTTTATATTAGTTTAATTGAGAGTGTTTAACATAACTGTGTGGTTCGGACGAGTTGCATCTCTGAATAAAGTAAAATTAAACAGATGCATCTCTGAATAAAGTAAAATTAAACAGAATTACAAGAGTAGCAGGTACAGTCATAGGATCCAAGCAAAAATCAGTCGATCAATTATATGAAATTGCTGTTCAGAGAAAAGCTTTGACTACAACAAGAGACACAACACACCCCTTGAATCATGTTTTTGAATTATTACCATCTCGTCGTCGTTATAGAACACCAAAAGCAATTTTTAGCGAATATATAAACAAACTTTTGTACCAAATGCACTACGTCTTTTGAATAAGGGGTAGGGAATGTGAATGTTGATATTGTGGATGTTGTGTATTGTTAGATGTATTGGGTGGATGTTGTGTATTGTAACTAAAAAGACTCTCATCGAAGGCTTCATCGATACGACAGCCTGATCCTCAACAAACCCGTCTCCATCCCGGAGTGATGACTCTGATCTTAAACCAGATGGAACAGGATAATATTCTAATTTGTTCCAAACCAATCTGACTTCTGACCTAAAATGCTGCCTGAATCATAATCATACACTGCTCGTTCAATGGCCAGAGGAGAACTGTTTTTTTTTCTCTATTCTGCCAGCTGATGGAGTTTTGGTTCCTTGCCATTGTTGCCTTTTCCCACCTTTGTTGCCATAGGCGTGGCTTGCTTAGTTGGGGACATTAAATGTAACATTTAATTTAATATTTAAAATTTTATTTAATATTCAACAATAATATTGATCTGCCTGCATTGACACTATTATAAAAGAACTGAACTGGACGATGACATCACGGTTTACTCCAGAGCGGCTATTTATATATAAATGAACTAAATTAATAACTTTTTTAAAACAAAAATGAAACATCACTGAACTTACTTAAGCTGGAACTTTTATTTTCTTCTGGAAACAAACTTTTTCGCATTATTTTCCTGTTATCTCTGTAAAGCTGCTTTGAAACAATCTGTATTGTAAAAAGCGCAATATAAATAAATGTGACTTGACTTTTGATGAAACTCATTTGAACAGAGTGACTTCCCAAAAAAACCTCCCAATAGTGCTGTGAGTAGTCACCAGCACACACTCTTAACATTAAACACAGGTTAAAATGCATTCATGAGAGGAAAAAAATCAAATAAATCGCAATGTTGCATTAAAATGTCATATAAAAGTGTCACTGGAGCTGTGGTAGGAAGGCTAGCACACATCCTCGAACATATCGAGCCGTGGCGCTCATCTGTGCAGTCTGAGTTTGAATCTAGCTTTCAACATTTGCTTACATGTATATCACTTCCCCTTCTTCATTACCTGCCCTTTGACCACTCTTTAGTACCAATAAAAGTGGCATTACATTACATTTGCATTATATTGCTTGGCCGACATTGCAGCACTTCCCCAAGCACACAAACTATGGTCTACTTTTAGAATACATTTATGGTGCTTTTGCATCCTTTTTGGATATTAAAACCGTTATTTACATTGTAAGTGAATTAAAAAACGACCAGTATATTAATCACAATGTACTGGATAGAAAAACACCTTTGGAATGAGGGTGATTAAATGACAGAATTTTGATATTTGGGTGTACTGTCGCTTTAAGAAGTACTTATGGTTTGCAAAGGTTGGACTTCTTTTTCCCAGTAGACAACGTTCTAAATTGCATGCTTGTCATCTGACCCTGTCATCTAGAGGTCACTGGGGGTCAAGTTATCGGTCTTGCTAACAATAACCTGCTTTTCTCACTTACTTGTCCAGTCATCTTCAAAGCAGTAGAGAAAATGAAAGACCACCATGACCAAGGTATGCAGAGAAATCAGGCAAATGTACATCTGGAAAACACATCAGAATCAACATTAGATGGTTTTTAGTGCTGGTTTCAAAGAATCTGAATGAAATATGAAATAAAATATGCATTTAAATCCTTGATTACAATCAAATTAATATTATTACTACCAAATTCAGAGGGGAGTAATTAAAATCTTATATCAGAGAGTCCAAGACTACTTCTGAATCTTTGCAACACTTGTGTTAGCCACAGGTTGTAAGCATTTTACAACTCTGTTTGTGGTATTTATAGAAGTGTGCAGGATGAGACTTTTTTTAGTACTTACTGTGAAAAGCACAAAATACTTTTGGTTATTTTCCCCGACGCAATTGTTTACCCAAGGGCAATGATGATCCATCTTCCGTACACAGCGCTTGCAAACACTAAAATAAGTTTGAAAGAAAGGGTGGAGAGAGAAAAGAGATGAAAAAGTAACTTTGATGCTTCGAAATGGTTGACCCTGATGTATAGTGCTGCTGCCATTATGCATCTATATGTCTCCATATGTTCCTCTCTCACCTGCAGTGGTGAGCTCTATCCGGCTTAATACTGCTGCACTTGGGACATTTGTAAACCACCTGGCCTGGCTTCAGCTGCAAGCTCTCAATGTACTCCTTAGTGGCGTTGCCCTTTGGCACGGCTCCCTAAGAAAGCATAAGGCAACTTCAGTAACATTTTAATAGTTTATGACACCCTGCTGAAGATTTCGGGGAGACGGGGGCAGACATCACACAAGTCTCTTATCGTAACACACGAGAATGAACATTATTGGTTTTCGCATGTCAACTGAACATGCTTGAGCAGAGCTTCCGTTTACCACAACTGATTAATGTTTATATGTGCATAAAAGCCTAAATTTAATCTGTTCATCATATAAAGTGATCAAGTCTCTTAGGAAAATTTTGGACTAAACCACTCAATTCATATGGATTCGTTTTACCATTTATTCTTTATGAACTTCTTGAAGTATCAGTTGCGTAGCTGTCTAAAGAGGGACAGAAAACTCTCAGATTTCATCAAAAAGATCTTGATTTGTTCCGAAGATGCACGAAAGTCTTACGGGTTTGGAACAACATGAGGGGGAGTTTTTGGGTGAACTATCCCTTTAAATTGCAAACATGCTACAGTGATGACATTTATGCCCAATATTTTTATTCTGCTGTGTAAAGTTTGTTTTGACACCGTCTGAATTCAAATTAATGTATATTTTTTATCTAGGTTGTAAACGGGGTTGTTGTGGGCCCCTTTTATGCTCATGTTAATTCTGTTTGCGTTATGTTGACATGATTTAATGTTCAAAAAACATATTTTCTTTTAATTTACATTGTTGCAGGATTTTTTTCACTCTTTGTGTTGCCTTGTCCAAATACCCACACTTGCTGTCTTCGCACTTGACCACTTGTCTACTTGCATGAAGTGTTCAAGTAGGCGTAAAGACTGCAAGTGTGTGTAGAACCTTTGATTTACTCGATGGGACACACTTATAGTCTTGCAAAAAATGCAAGTGTATACAGAGCTTTTATTTATTGATTTATATTTTAAAATAAACTTCTACATGTCTGTTCAGTAGTTGCTATGTTACTAACATACTTCAAGAAGTTCAAGACCTCAAGTGTGGGTATTTGGACAAGGCATCTGAATGGTCTGTTTTAGTTTCTTTCTTTTTTTTTAAACCCCACCTTCCAAAAAGCATAAGCTGCTCTGATTGGTCAGCCTGTCCCCAGTCAGTTGCGATTGGTCTACCGCTGTCGGAAATGTAACACCCTTACCATAAACATTAATGTTATGTTGTAACATTTTAATTATTATTAAACCATTAATAATAATAATAATAATCATATAACATTATTATTAAAAATAATATATATAAGTGTTAAATATGTGATATATAGTGCTATAATTCCCCCTATATACTGTATAAAATTCCCTCATAATGGGGATGTTGTCTCCCCTACCCAAAGGCACCATGAAAGCATGCATTTATTGCTGTAAGTAAAACCCACCGGGTCTGTGCACATGGCTCTGAAATGAGACGCCAAGGCGAGGAAGGCCAGGCTATTGAACAGGGTGCCGTTCACCAGGCAGTAGGTGAGGTTCTTCGATGGAATCAGCATGAGGAACAGCACGACAAACTCAGCAAAGAAGACAAGAAACCAGGTGATGATCGCACAAACGATGCCGCAGGCATCTCTGATGAACCACATGTTGTTCTGTCGCTCATGACAGGGAGGAAGACACTGTGCGGGCTGCTGGCCACCGGCCTGCCTCTCGACGTCCCTGAAGCGCGGCACTGGACTTCTCATCCTACCACAGAGATGCCATCCTGTCGGGGATGATGGGGGAAAAGGAGTCAAAGTTGGATTAAACCGTCTAATTTCATAGCAAACGTTTGTGCACAGTCTATTTTTAGTTCACAAAACCAAATGGTTAGCAGAAGTATAGACGTGTGAGGACAGTGGATCACAGAAAACGTCCAAAGCGACCGCACGATGAATTAAAATGATTTAAAATAAGACAAAACAAGCATTAAAATAAGCTAAAACGAAAATCAAAAAGAAATGATAGGCCTATTTCTTGTTTAAATCATTCACTCAACAACTGTCATTTTTATGTAAGAACCAGCATTTGCAGTCTTGGAGAACCTCATATATAAAAAGTGTGATTTCTAGACATGGAAGAGTCAAATTAATAAAATGATAGATGGATGGATGGATGATTTTAATTAATACAATTGTTCTAGTTATGTCAAGCGCTAAAACATTTATTGGAGTGGAAATTGCTATTTGTGAGAAAAAATCATTTCAAAACCATGTCATCACAAATTACTAGAAAAGTCCAAATTAGTGTAAAAGTAAAACGAAAGCCTGGAGTCATTTAGTAATTAACATTTAGGCCCTAATTTGGGAAATTAATAATTTAGTAATATTTCATTTAATTGTTTTAATATATTTCCACTAGTTTCTGTAAATAAAGTTTGAAAACAAGCAGTTTTAGGCAGAAGTACCAGAGATAATTTGTGTAGTTATTTAATTGAACTATTGTCTTTGGTAATCGGTGGACTTGGAGTCAAGAAGCTTGAGATCCACTGGTTTAGGAGACACAGAAGGTCATATTTAGTGGACACAGCAGTATGGGAGCTGCAGTCTCTCTGATAAAGTCACTTGAGCAGAACCAACAATGTCAGTAGAGGACACACTGTAGTCCCAGTCTTTTATTTCCCCGGTTATGGCCCAGAAATCAATACTACATCCAACTTTTGTGCTTACTGATGACATTCCTATCTACTTGAGTCCATAATGAGACAGTCAAGCACCGTTCAAGAGTGCCAGACATTATTAGCATTATCACTATGCGTTTCAAAATAAACCTCAATAAACAGCCCAAAATCTGGTTTAACAAGCCAAAGAAGCCGAAACAGGACATAGTAACACAATGGCGTAAATAACGCACTGACTGTGCCAACTGCCAATTCAGCAATAATATACAACAGCATCCAAGCGCACTGTTTATCATTTAATTACATCTCAATGGAATATTAATGACAGTTAATAATAACAACACGATATTGATTGAACAACACTGAAATCAAGCAGCCAGCTGTGTGTAGAAACCTGCGTTACCTGGCCATGGCGATACTCACATATTTGGCGACATTGGTGCTCCTCGCGTTTGCTCGCCCAACCAAGGCCGAGAAGATCCAATGATGCATGGATCACACTAACAGGGGAACATGTTCTAGGTTAGTTTTAACACAGTAAAAAGTGGTTTACCCGATTAATGCACAGAGGCTGGTGAAATGCTGCATTTTTGTGCGGTGCCAGCTCCTCCCTTCGCTGGAGAAACTGATAGCCACACCTCCCTAGCTTTCACTGGAGGCGCAACTGGACCACGATCCGAAATGGAAACCACTTCCAGAAAATTCATCATTGGACTGCTAGGCGTTGCCAAGGAGACTGAAACTTGAGTTATCTTATTAGGGGGCGCTTCGAGGCTCTGAACGCAGAATGTCCCATTGACCCGCATTCAAATATATGGTTGTTTTTATACTATTGTATATATGTTGTACTAATACGATTATAATCCTTTAAAACTGTCACTTCATAAAAAATTGAATCAGATACACAAATGCATATAATCTCCATAACGTATTGTAAAATTACTTTTTAATGTAGCCCTTTAAGTCATCACAAACGACTGTGATTGGTTCGTCTTGTCCAGCGGAGAGAAAAGTAACAGATTCCTCGTGGTATCGCTAGATGAACCACACGCTAAATAGAGTTAACTTCCGCTCATATGTTAAGATTGCTGGTAGCCATTCTAGCCTCTTATTAAATTTCTGTATATTAAATCGACTCAATATATTGAGTAAAATATTATGTGGGCCGTTGATAATGCATTGCATTATTTTTGTGAAACCCAAACAGAGCAATAGTGTCATGAAAAACATCGTTTGATTGTGTGTACATATCTAAAATATAACAAAATATATTTATAACATAAATAAATCAATTTAGTTCAATTTAATCGCTAATTTAGAACTGATGCTAATAATTGTGCGATATATAGATAGACAAATAGACATATAGATAGATAGATAGATAGATAGATAGATAGATAGATAGATAGATAGATAGATAGATAGATAGATAGATAGATAGATAGATAGATAGATAGATTTGATTAATGATATTTCGATTTGTTTTGTATTTTAATACATATATATATATATATATATATATATATATATATATATATATATATATATATATATATATATATATATATATATATATATATATATATATATATATATATATTTATTTTATTTTTTTTTAAGAAAGAAAAAAGTTCATTTTCAAGCATGGACTCTTATAACCTGGCCCTAGCCAGATGAATTTCGCTCCGCCTAGCTTCTAGCTAGCTTCTAGCTAGCTAGGCGGAGCGAAATTCATCTGGCTAGGGCCAGGTTAGGACTCTTATGGCTAAAAATTTAAAGCGTCCCTTAAAATTTGCGCAAAAGAGCCTAACATGCGGGTTGCCAGGTTGCATTCTAAACCACGTTGTTAAACAAAATTATATATTTTGACAAAACCGTACAGATTATTTCATTTGAAATTGTAATTTTATTTAATATTGCAGTCTCTCTGCAAGAACAACATGACTAAGTATTCGTACAAAAGAACCCTGGTTAATTATTTTTGCGTTTAAATCAATGGTCTATATGTGGCACAAATACAGAACCAGTATGAAGAACAGGTGTGTATTTCTTTCTTGTGCAAAAACAAAATTTCCAGTACAAATTGTGTATTTTTGTCTTTTGCTGACACAAAAAAAAATATTACAAGGTTTAACCATTGTGGTTTTAACCAGGTTTTAACCCATGGCGATTATTTTATACGACCAACCTGGCAACCCACGGCGCGGACACCAGACCAGTTCCCTGTTGGTGTGACGTGGGGTGGTACAATGAAGAGACGATGGCTGCCTGCATCAGAGTAATATGGATGAGATTGACCGTCTTGACAGCCGCTATTCATGATGGTTCTGCTCTCCTAAACTCTTTCTTTGCCAAAACACACTAATCTCCCTGTTCGTGCCATCTGCACAGATCAAGTGTTGTATTTGCATCAGACTGCTAGCCCCGTGCTATGGTTCTACCTATATCAACTCTCTTTAATTGACCTGACGGGTGAGTAACTAGATGGATCTGCACCATTTTATAATTAATTTACCCATACAAGACCTGTGAATGTAAACTAAAGCGAAGTAACCTCGTTAGGCAACATAGTTGTTCAGTTAGCTGGCTATAGCTAACATTAGCAATTGCTATTGCAGTTCACTTGATTCCTTGATTGTTGCTGGTTAAGGTCAATATGCCAAAATCGGTGAAACAAAATTGTATGATATAATGCATGGATCATATTAGTTTTTAAACCTCAGAACAGAATATTTGCAAATCCTGCAAATAACATGTGTCCAAGGACTTGGACATGGATTCTTTCAGTACCATCATATAATCCATATGTCTGGATTGCTAATGTTGTTTGTGTTCTTTTTTTTATTTTTAAACGTGATATGTTTCTACTTTGAAATGATGAATTAATACATCACCCTTTCCCTCTGTGCTCTCTTTTTCTCTTCAGATATCACTCATAACATGGCCATTACACAGTTTCGACTTTTTAAAATATGCACCTGCTTGGCATATATCCTTTCATTCTTGAAAAGACTGATTTGCAGGTGGGTATAAATTTCGGTAACACTTTATTTTATGGTGTCCTTGTTACATTTAGTTACTATAGTAATTACTATAGATTGTGCAAAATTACATGCAACTAACCCTAAACCGTACCCTAATCCTATAGAAATTATTACTCACTACTTAAATATATAATTAATTACACTGTAACACGGACACCTTAAAAAAAGTGTATCCTTAATTTATTTCGTTGAATTGTTTGCAGATTTATCTTGTAGATTGTCAATCTGAAGCCTTAGGGCATCTATATGAGCGAGCATCTAGAGTGTGTCTCTTACCACAGCATCACTTCTGTAATGAGTTTCCTCTGCTACACTGTGTTTTGACTGTTGTCTTTTGTTAATGTAGGACTGGAAGGTCACGCAAACTGAGTGGGGATCAGATCACCCTCCCGACCACAGTTGATTATTCTTCACCAAAGCAGGTCAGAGAAAAAATAGGTTGTAAAAAACGTAATTTACAGTATGGCAAAGCGACATTAAATTGATCAATCGTGACAGTGAAGACTTTTACATTGTTACAAAAAAACTTTCTATCCATCAAGTTACTTTTACTGTTTTTACTCGAATAGATGCCATGGTGAGCATACTTTTTCCAAAAACATAAAAAAAAATATGCTTGTTTATTTTTAGAGCTGCAAAATTTATCGTTAAAAGATTGCGATCTCGATTCAAACACCCATGTAATATTCCTAAATGACAGCGATCACAGCGGAACATTAAAATCTGCATTCTGAGCCAGAGAGAGGAGTTGTCAATGTAAAATTATGAAACAGCTTCATAAACAGTCTTTTCAACCACACAGTATCATTATTTCTGTGTTACAGCAATTCATATTATCACACAAGTAGACAAGATAAAAGTTTATAGTTCGGATATAAACAATAGCTAGGTTTACATGGACACCTTTTGGTTCAATCGAAAAGAAATCAATCCGATTGATGAATCCGAACACGGTGTTTACATGAACAATAAATAAAGTAATCGGGTTGATTTGCGCGTTTATATGTCACAAGAAGATTCAAATCGGAATTGATTTTTTGTCATGCACACACTGCACGAATATACTCGCTGTTCGCGCATAACTATTCTCCTATATTGGTTATTTATTTGTTTTAAACAGCAGACTTAATATTTATCCTTCTCTGGTCATGATTTGGAGACGATGAGCATATGAGAATTTTAGAATGACGGGACACTCATTTAGATGACACTTTATTCAACAGGAAAAACAGCTCGTTCCACACGTCATTACGCTGAGCCGTCAATCCGATTATAAGGGTCCATGTAAACGCAGCTAATGATGTCTACGGTAGCGATCAAAATAGAGTAAATCACCTTTTGAAAGTGACTTGACACTTCAAAGAAACATTGTATCATTACATTGTTACTAGAGGTCGACCGATATGGTTTTTTTCAGGCCGATGCCGATCTTTTGAAATCCGGGTCGGCCGATTAATGCTGCCGATTTATTTTGGCCGATATGTGCTTGTTTTTAACCTCTATTTGAAAGATCAAATGTAACAGAAATAATAATTACTTAACATAGACAAAATTTCTCAAAAACATTTATTGAACACTTGAACAATGAACAATCTGCACTTGTACACTTAAATTAAAAATGTATAATGTCAGTGCATTGCAAGTAATACAAGGCTAAAAACATTTCTATCCTCTTCCCAAAAACTGTCCTGAAACATGGGCTGTATTTTTGGTTTGTTTGTTTTGTTTGTTGACGGACAAAGCCAAATGAACATAACCTAATTATCACAAAAAGGGGAAAAAAAACCTTTTAATTATTTAATATTTTTTTATATATAAGGTTTATTATATTTTATTTAATTTAACTTATAACAATAACGTATTTCACTAGTAAATTGCTGTTGAACGACAAAAACAACCACCAGATGGGAAAATGATATTTTACAAAAACTTTAAATTCCCACAACGCACCGTCCGTCTGTTGTTCTTCAGACAACGGCATCCCGCTGTTGGACCTTTTAGTCTACAGTGAAATACAGTCACACTTTACACTGTTTGGCCAGCATTTTAACCATGTTTAATCCAGCTACTAACTAACAGTATGATCCGTTTTCTGAGCATCCAAGAGAAGCACTGGCATAACAGTAGCACCGAACTGAAGCACAGAAATCCGTGTTGATATTCGGTGCGGTAGATAGCTACCCGCTAGCAAAGCAAAGCCAGTCTGTCACTAGCCTATAGTGCGTTGGTCTCTTTTTTTATTACGTTACTTATTTCTCTGCATTGAGTGACAACCCTCTCAAATATAAGCCACGCAAACAGAACAAATAAAAGTCTCAGATTCACTCTGTAATTGCAAAATTATTGCTTACTTATTGTGACATGATCGCAACTCTTCTACTGTGATAATGCAACTTCAACTACGATCCAAAGTAGCCGAATGTCATGTCGCTTATTCAGGTTTTTTCTCGAAGTTGGCAGTAACATATCAAAAGTTTTTAATTAAATATATAGGAGTTATAAGAATTGAATCCTTATCGTTTTCTCCAAAGCACTTAGTTAGCTCCTGCCTTAGGCACTGTATGAGGTCTGCTCACTCGGCTGGAAAATGACTCAAGCGGCAGCGCGCGTCAAACACGTGTTCCACGACAACACTAGGCTGCCCACAGATGCGCCTGCCTAATAATGGGCTTGATATAGGCTACTTCGATATTGGCCGATGCGAAAAATCGGCCGATTAATCGTCCGACCGATTAATCGGTCGACCTCTAATTGTTACACCAGTATGTGGAGACAAGTGACTGTTAAAAAATGTATTGGCATTGATACATTCATTTAAGAGATTCATTCAAAAACGCTGATTCATACAACAATGAAACAAGTGAAGTGTTTATGAGTGAGTCATTGAATCACTCATTCAACCCAATTAAAAAAGACTGTAGGAATTAACTTTTTCTCAGAACCTCTCGTAAATTACAGGTTATTTTGTTTAGTTGTCTATTCAGAACCGTGGGAGTGAGAGTTGTGATCTCTATTTTAAACTATTTTAAACAAAAAAATTGTGATTCTTTATTTATCCAGAATCGTGCAGCTCTAATATATTTATATTACACGTACTTGTGCAGTATTTTATGTTAGTTTATTTCGTTTATGTTTATTTTATTTTGTAGTATAAATAGTGTGAGTAGTGTGTTCACGCTGAAATTCCAAGTAGAAAAAGTGCGCTTTAAATACCTGCATTATCCACTTAATTAACTGAAAAAATAAGTGTGTAATGATGGCAACTTCATGTACTCAACTGTCGCAGCTTTAATTACTTAGCGATGGGGGAGGGGCTATCAGACTCTGATGTTGAATGACAAAATAACCTTATAAAATTCATACACTACATGCTTGAGTCAGTGCATAAGTACATAGTGTGTAAGTGTATAATAATCAAATGGGCAGTGATGATGTGAAGTCACATACTTGACTGACTTACTTGCATTTTTTTTATTTCTACTGATTATTTGTCAGCATACATTTAAAAAAATGAATTCAATAAAACTGTAAAGATGACTGTTTACTAGTATTGACTTCTGCTTGATTAAAGGAGGCAATTTTTAAGTTAATCTCGATCGTTACACCTTTGTGAGTACTCTCTATAGAAAAAAAAACGAACCGGATCGGTGCTTGCAACACGGAGCTGTTCCCGCAAATGCCCAGAGCTCCCACTCAGCTAAAACGGCAGTTATGGGGGCATAAACAAAAAGAGTGTCTTTGTACCTCTTAACAGACACAAAATGCAATTAAAATGTCTGTCCAACATGAACAGGGGCCTTACATGTGAACAAGATGCGTTTAGCAACTTAGCCATTGTTTAAATTCACCTAAATAGTGTTTTAGACGGCAAGCTGTAGTCTCGCGGTGAAGTCCCGTGGGAACTCCGTTGTAGCCGGAAAAGGTAAACAGTGTCCAGGTGGGAGGACTTTGTTTAAATAAAAAAAAAACGGAGTTCTCCTTTAAATAAGTGAATATTTGGGAGCAGTTGTGGCCGAATGGTTAGAGAGTCTGACTGGTAACCAGTTGTGGGTTCGATTCTCAATACCGGCAGGAAATGACTGAGCAAGACACCTAACCCCCAATCACTCCCCGGACACCACAGCAAAATGTCTGCCCACTGCTCTTGTTGTTGTGTGTCCATGGTTTTCAGTGTGTCTGTTCACTACTCACTACTCCTAATGTGTGTGCACTTGGATGGGTTAAATGCAGAGGACAAATTCCAAGTATGGGTTACCATTCTTGGCCTTCACATGTCACTTAACTTAATTTGTTTGTTGTATGATTAAAATAGCCGGAGATTGAGGAGTGGAGCTCATGGGATGAGGAAGCTCCCACGAGTATCAAAATTGAAGGTGGTAACGGGATAGTTCCACCTCCACAGAATGAAGCTGAAGAGGAAGAGCCGGACTATTTCAAAGACATGACTCCCACTATCAGGAAAACACAAAAAGTAGGTTCAATATTTGGGCCTGCTTCATTTCCTGCTACATCTGTTGCCATTCCATGGTCATACGTTTTCTTTTCTGTCCTAGGAAATGTCTTTCTCTTGCTTTCCCTCTAAAACAATAAGGATCAACATACATTTGTTTTTTTATTAGTTAGGGCAAGTGGAAATCAAAACCTGTTGAAATAAAGATACTTTTATAGTTTAATGGAAGAAATTCAAGAAAATCTTGTGACTAACAGTGATGAAAAGCAGGGCAAATGTTGTAGCCCTGGTGCAGTGGTAGTGCTGACCTTCTCAATCACATTTATTTTTGTGTAATACATTATATACACTACCGTTCGAAATATTTAAAAAATAAAATAAAATACTTTTATAGTATTACAGAAGATTTCAATTTCAAATAAATGCGGTTCTTTTGAACTTTCTATTCATCATGGATTCCAGAGGAATGTGTCATGGTTTCCACAAAAACAGCACAACTGTTTTCAACATTGATAATAATAAGAAATGTTTCTTGAGCACCAAAACGGCATATTAGAATGATTTCTGAAGGATCATGTGACACCGAAGACTGGAGAAATGATGCTACAAATTAAACGTTGCCATCACAGGAATAAATTACATTTTTGATTTCCATTACACGAGAGTAGATGTTAAAACTTCATGCTGATTTAAAGTAGTATTACTTTAATTAATTAATACAGTTATTAATAATTAAAGTAGAAAACAGTTATTTTTCTGTAATAATCAGATAAATGCCGCCTTAGTGAACACACAATATTTCTTTCAAAAAAATCTTACACACCCCAAAATTTGTCTATACTGTATTATTCTGTATTATTGATAATGCAGTATATATACATTTTTGTGCTCTTTTTCCAGATTGTCTTGAAGAAAAGGGAACCTCTGAATTTCTCTATGCCAGACAGCTCCTCGGGTTTCTCCAGCCGACTAGCCGCCACTCAGGACATGTCCTTCATCCAGCCCTCTGTGAGTAATACAAAGTAACAATGTTAATCACACGGCTATTGTGAGACCAGTTAACACTCTAAATGAGCATAAAGAGAGAATTTATGGAGAATAATTCTTTATCTGACTGCAACCAACTCCATCAACGCACATCACATTTTATTTGTTGGACCAAATTGTACAACATTCACAAACACTGTCTGTGGGCTGCAGGCAGAGCTGGGGGACATGGACACCTGGCAGGGGAACACCAATGCCTGGGAGGATGAGGCAGAGGCATCCTGGGATGCAGAAGAAGTGCTAAGGTAAGGTACATTACCAGCAGACAATGAGGTGTTCCCCAATTTTATATACAGGGGTTGGACAATGAAACTGAAACACCTGGTTTTAGACCCCAGTCATTTATTAGTATGGTGTAGGGCCTTCTTTTGGAGCCTATATAGCATCAATTTGGAATGACATATATAAGTCCTGCACAGTGGCCAGAGGGATTTTGAGCCATTCCTCTTCCAGAACAGAGGCCAGGTCAATACTTGATGCTGGTGGAGGAAAACGTTTTCTGACTCCTCCAAAACAGTGGTGGCTCAAAAATATTTAGATCTGGTGACTGTGCAGGCCATGGGAGATGTTCAACTTCACTTTCATGGTCATCAAACCATTCTGTCACAAGTCTTGCTGTGTGTATTGGTGAATTGTCATGCTGATACATGGCACCTCTTTCAGGGTACAATGTTTGAATCAATGTTTAACCTCCTAAGTAACAGGTTAACTACCTTTTCTTATAACAAAAATAACTGAACATTTAAATACAATAAAACGATACACTAAAAAATATATATGAAATAAATTAAAGTGCAAAAGAACTAAAAAGAACAATTGGTAACAATTAGGTCCCATTAGTTAACGTTAGTTAATGTATTAAACATTAACTAACTGAGCAATAGCTACATTTGTTACAGAAATTATTATTCTTTGTTAATGTTAGTTAATAAAAATACAACTGTTCATTTTTGGTTCATGTTAGCTCAAGTCCATTAAATAATATTAACAGATACAACTTTTACATTTGAATTATTAGGAAATGTTGAAATTAGCGTGAACTAAGATTAAATAATGCTTTAGAAGTGTTGTTCATCGTTAGTTCATGTTAAAGCAACACTAAGTAAGATTTTTTTACCTTAAAATAATATTTCCAAAATCGTTTCAGTGGTTTATTAAGTCGTACCGGTGAAAGGCACTTATGCCTCCGCTTTGCGGTCCTATATCTGCTATAACCACGCTATGTAAGATTGCCAGATCGGGTCGCGTTTCTGTAGTTCTAATGAGACATAAGAAAACTACAAATTTGACTTGCTTTACGTCAAGCGTTACAATAGTCATTATTTTGTTTTTCTTCGTTTCTGATGTCGCAATACATCATACTTTCATGAAATCATGCAACATACTCTACCTCGTCTGTGGACATCGTTCATTCCAAAGCCGGCGCTGGATAAACAGCGAGCGTGCGTGCGACAGTAGGCTGCGGTAGGCTAAATTATTTACGACAGCGGTAACGGACAATTCCGCTTCCAACCTGCAGGCCGACCGCAGAGGAAAAGTTACTTGGTGTTGCTTTAACTAGTGAATAAACAATGAGAAGCAGAATATTTTCAATCAATATCTAGGGCATGTTTTAGTCAAGGGTTAAAATGTAAAATAATGTTTAAGTTTGAAAATAAACTGCTATTAAGTCTTTAACTATTACATATTTAAGTATTTGGTGCTGTGCTAACACCATTGTGAATACAAAAATCTGAATGGCTGTTTAAAACATTTAAATATTGTTCAGAGCAGTGGCTTTGTTTACGGCTGCTTTCTGCTGATCCTTAAAGGGATACTCCACTTTTTTTTGGAAATAGGCTTATTTTACAACTTCGCCAGAGTTAAACTGTTGAGTTTTACCGTTTTTGAATCCATTCAGCCGATCTCCGCTTCTGGCGGTACCACTTTTAGCATAGCTTAGCATACATCATTGAAGTGGACAAGACCATTAGCATTTCTCAAAAAAAAATGACCAAAGAGAAACTTTACTGCCGTACCATGAGTGCAGCAGGCGTAATGATATGACGCAGCGCCTGAAAATAGTCCCCAGCTCGGTAACTTCCAACGTGACCGGGACTAAGTGCCTGCGCCTGCTGCACTCATGGTACGGCAGTAAAGTTTCTTGATTACTACGCAGGAATGAGAGTATAGTTCCTAGCCATATCAGCCTAGAAAATCGCAACTTTACATTTTTCGTCGGTCTTAGTGCACGATGTAACTACAGAAGAGTCAAGTTTTAAATAGGAAAAATATCGAAACACTTTGGTCTTTTTTTTTTTGAGAAATGCTAATGGTCTTGTCCACTTCAATGATGTATGCTAAGCTATGCTAAAAGTGGTACCGCCAGAACCGGAGATCGGCTGAATGGATTCAAAAACGGTAAAACTCAACAGTTTACCTCTGGGGGAGTTGTAAAATGAGCCTATTTCCAAAAAAAGTGGAGTATCCCTTTAAGCGCCATCTGCTGTCCGAGAGTGAACGTGCGTTTTCATTCAGCGCGTCTCCTTCACTCGTTCCGCCATTTTGCTCATGCGTGTTGGGGTTTTATTACTGTATATTGCACATGTCTAGTCAGAAGTTTCAGTTCTTTAGAAATCAGCTGAGCAGATTATGTGTGTGCCTGGCAATTACACATAATTCACTCTGAGGGAGAATCTGGTGGCTTTCTGCTTGTTTTTGTCCACTAGGTGTCATTGTACAAGCACAGATGAATTCAATCTGCACTGCATTGTGCCAGTCCTTGATTAAGCGTTACTTTGATAAATCATGTATCACATCATATTTGAAAGGTCATGATTGTTGAGAGTTTTTTCCCCTTAATTTCACTGAAATGAACATGTCAGTTAACAATGTTCTGTCTCTGTCTATCCTGAACTCAGGCAGCAGAAGTTGGCTGAGAGAGAGAGACGGTCCATGGAGCAACAGAGGAAGAAAATTGAGAAAGAGGCACAGAGAATGATGAAAAAAGAGCAGAAGATCGCTGTCAAACTTTCATAACATTAATACAGCGCACTGGACACTCAAAACAACAGCCAAACAACTGTTCATATTGCATTTGACCTTGTTTTATCCTGCCCTCTACACTGCTGTCTTCAACACTTTGGGATATTTTTTTTAGTCCATCAGCCGTCTTGGGAGATTTTTTTTTTTGTGTGTGTACATGTCCCTTTGTGGTTTTTTGTTGTTGTTGTTGTTGCATTGGACAGAAATCAGCACAAAAAACCCTTTCCTTTCAGTTATGACTGTTCTTATTGTGCGCTCGATGAAAGAAAAAAATAGTTTCTTTTCTGTCAGTATTTATAACACTTGAACGATTTTTTCCCAGAATAATTTTAGATAAGGAATTCCGTTCTTTTTGGGGTTTTTTTACATTTTGCTGCTGTTTTTTATTTAATGCTTTTTTTTTTTTATGCTTTTTTTCCCACCTGTTTTTCTTCATCAAAGTCTTGTAACTGCTTTAAACACTGGACCTCACCAGAAATCGGTGATCTCAGTATTTAAAAAAAAAAAAAAAAAAAATCAACAATTTTATGCAACCTTGAGTTTCTGCTCTCCACATTCTATTTAGCTGGCTATCTAATCTTTACCAGTCAGTTTACCTGATTATCGTGCTCTTAATTGTGAATAATCCTTCAAGACCTTATATTTCGATCTTGATTTTTATAAAGACAAAAAAATGATTTGGGTAATCTGTGTATAGAGTTAATAATTGTCAGTGAGAATGGAGAGCAAAAATGTACAGTATGTACTAAGACTCGATGAGAGCGCTTTTAAGAGGATGTGGGTTGGTCGTCATGGAAACGCTGAAATTTTTAAATATCCAAATTGGCAACCAAACCATCTTTTATCTTAAGTAAGACACTGTTACTGAGAAGAGCATTAGCTGAGATAAACATTCACAGATAAACATTTTAAGGGAATTTCACCATGGGAACAACTTTGTGTCTTTAACTATTAAAGAATTTCCCATCTCTTAAAAATATATAAATTGATCATGTTTTTTGACACAATGATGATGATGGTGAGCTGAAATTAACCTCTGCATTCTATGATTATTAAGGAACGTGAAGCCATGAGAGCCACAGGTACAGATAAACAATGAAAAACTGAATAAAATCAAAAAAAATTTTTATCATTTATGCTTCCCCCTCATGCTTGCTCATGCCTTTTTAAGTTGTTTTTACAATTTTGCACTGTCCAGCCTTAGCTTTAATAAACATTTGGATGTCTGTTCAGTGGTTTAATGGTATTCGAAGGGTTTCCGAATCTTCTCTCATTTCTTCATAAAAAACAACAACGACGAAACATTCTCATTGTGCTGTGGTAAAGATGATGTCTTGGTTTTTTTTACATAATCAGTAATAGAAGACTTTATTTGGTCTGTTTGTACGCAGACTGTTAAACTGTAAACAGCATCATGAAGCTGTCATCATTTATGATATTCAAGGTCAGACGCATTGTCCGGATGGGTGGAATATTCCAGCTCTGAGAAAGTGATGTCATAATCCCATCTGCCTCAGCAACGCCCCCGGTCGACCAATCCTCCCACAGCCTGACCCACTTACACGGAGAGAGGAAAATAAACTATGACTGAATTATACATTACATGCTGTCTTCTGCAGCCATGCGCATCTTCATCACATTTGTCTTGGGTTTCCCACGACTTTGTCTTTGTAATCAAGACTTCTGGATCATGCTCATTAAATAAAATGTATATAAACACTGTTTGAAGATTTTATGCTCTAAAAATGCATTGAGAGAGAGTGTAAAACGCCACAACAAAAGCTTATTAACACTGTTATCTTTTTCAATACATGCATTGGATTTCCTCATTTCTTAGTCACATATCCAAAATCTATAATAAGCTAAGAGTACATAACAGCAAGCATTTGCTCAGTCTTGACACTTCATGCATGTGGGGCTTCATGTTATGCAACAGTCAAGTCCCATCTGGTAACAGGTTTACTGTGTGTTCTTCAGGCAGCCCTTCCACATCTCAGCTTCTGAATGTAGAAGTGCTTAGGTTCCTATACTCCATACATTTTATATTATACATATTACACACAATGTATACACTGTAAAACCCAACAAGTTATGCTAACTCATTTCATTTGAGGAAACCGATTGCCTCAATTCATTTAAGTTTAGTATAAACAATAGGTATGAGTACTCTGAACTTATTTTATTCGAGTTCACTAAAACAATAATTTTTCTTAAAACACAAACTTCACACTGCATTTAATACTGTATATAGCGGAAACTTCACTTTGAGTAAAAACAGTGTACATATTCTACATTTGTATTATATTTGTGTGTGTCCTTGTATTCTCTAGATTATGGGGACCAAATGTCACCACAAGTTTAGTAATACCAGTAAATTTTGACCTTGTTGTGGGGACATTGTTTTTGTCTTCCCTTTATATCCCCAAAACAGCATGTAAATCATTAAGAATTATCTTTTTTGAAAATGTAAAAATGCAGAAAGTTTTCTGTGATGGGTAGGTTTAGGGTTAAGAGGATATAATATACAGTTTGTACAGTGTTTGTTGTGTTTTTCTATCCAGTTGGGGACTTACCTGAATGCACACAGACTCATGTGGACTAAATTGAGGTATTCCCCCATGAGGAAACAAGGTTATAAATCATACAGAATGAGGTTTTTTTTTTTAAATGTTAAAATCTTTTCTGTGATGGGTAGGATTAGGGGTAGGGTTAGTGTAAGGGGATAGAATATACAGTTTGTACAGTATAAAAATGATTACGTCTATAGAGAGTCCCCTCAAAGATAGTGAACCAGACGTGTGTGTGTGTGTGTTTGGGTCTTGGGCAGGTCTGTCGCTGCCTACAGGATTTATCTTAAAACAAATGACAGTTTATAACCTCTTTATGGTTGTTTCGTCAAGTGAGGGCACTTTATGTCAATTTTCTTTTTATTATTTTATAATTATTATTTTACGTTTTGTTATATAAAGGTCATAGTACAAATTCAAAGTAGCTTTATTGGCATGAATGTGTACAATAGCACAATATTGCCAAAGCAATAGACATATACAAACATAGATAAATAAAAGTGAACAATAAAAAATAAAATAAAACAATTACTAAAATATCAAGCAATCAAAATAATAATTATTTGAAAAATTGTACAATTAATTATCCATCTGAGGTTAGACTGAGGTACAACTGTCTTAAAAACTTCTTAACCATATTTATGTTTTATTTGGATTCATTTTTATATTTATAGTTTTGCTTTTCAAACTAATTTGATCTAAATATTAAAATCCATTATAAAATGAAATAGGAGACATGAGGCATGAAACGTAAACTATTACTTATTACTTGTTTAAAAAGTGTAAAAATATTTTGTATGTGTGTGTATACACAAAATGCTATAGCTGTGACATTAGTTGGCAAAATTATTTGATTAATATAAAAATATGTAATGCTATGAAACACAATGTTGGAAATGCTACTGTAGGTATGGCATAGACATAACAAAAACTATATTTTGGTTTGTTAAAATGTTGCTTTATAAACAACTAGCTTTCTAAAGAAACTTAAATCTTGTGAACAGCAAAGAATTAAACTGCGTTAATCTAGGATTAAAGCTAATCCTGGAGATTAAGACTCACTTTAACTCACTTTGCTGGGCATTAAACCTTTTTCTCTTCATTCTTGGGTTATGGAGATTTGTATTATATTTATTTAAAAATGTATAGATATGAGATGCACCTGAAAAACAGGCCCAGATAATCTACCAACTGTTTTTTGTATTTTATGCACCGATTTTAAAAAATCTGCAGAATTTTACTTCTTACAACAATACTACAACTCTTATTGGTAGCTGAAAGCATGATCAAATTATGCAAACATTTATAACAAGCTAACATGCAAATGGTTGGGGGATGTGTAGTGGTTTTATAAATGACAGTCATTAAATTTTGTAGATCTTTCTGTGGGAACCTATTGTGGGGCTAGATACTGGCAAGTTTAGACATAAGACCAATTTACCACACAATAAAAGGCCAAACTTGAAGGGGTTTTCCATGCTTTAATAATAAATATAATGATATACATCTGATATAAACAAAAATATTGCACATAGCTCAGGCACATAACAAGTGTTCGCTGGCAAATGCTGCCTTTCAGGAAATGTCAGTTTACAGAGCAACATGTGAAAAGCTCGAACTCCATGGAGAGAAATACGGTTTCACTTAACACAAAAGGTTGAACACATTTAAGCTTTGGCAGAAGGTTTTAGTTCTTTTGGAACACAAGTGACATTTTAACTACAACAAAAACGACGGTCAACTGACAGTCAACCCCTATTGTCACTGCAAATGACTCTTATAAAAAGCAGGGAATAGCAGTCAGCAAAGAACAAGACTTGAGCAACATAACCACCAACATGATCAGATTCTGCAAAAATATTTATATATGTATACACACAAACATAAGGGCAATAAATAACAAAAAGAAAAGACAAATCAAGTCCCTTTATATCCCCATAAATTCAACCTTTGTGCCTCAGCTGGCAAAAATACACAGTGCAAAGTAGGAATGTCACAACTAAACGGAAAATAAGTGTATGCGTATAATCACGTGTGCAAAAACACAATTTTTACTTGAAGATAAAGTTTAAGTGCTCTTGTTGTAGATGTGGGTGAGGGCTACTAAGTGTCTGGCCCGTGAGAGACATGGCGGAGTGAGTGCAATCCCACAATGCAACAGCCTCGAATCAAAGCTACAATGTTGTACACTGGAGCCCCTCCGACCAAACCGTGCTGCGAGTAGAGCCACGCCACGGTAGGCAGCACGGGTGCCGCCACAGCAACCAGATCCACCAAGAAGTTGTTGCTCCAGTGGCTTTTCCCCACCACTGCCATGCTAGAGGTATTCTTTGAATTCTTCAGGTCGAAATTCAGCTCCTCCATGAACTCGGGACTCATTCCGGGCTCAGAAACACACAGACCGGAATCACTAGGAGCATTTTGGGAAATGTTGGTGCAAATGAGGCCAACATCTTTGACTTCTTTGTCTTGTGCTTCAGGAGACTTTTCCTCCTTAATGGGGTTTTGTGCTTCAAGCAAGTCCTCAAACTTTTTGGGAACCTGTTCTGAAGGTAATTCCTGGGATTGGTGGGGAGAAGGAATAAGGAGGCCAGAGAAGCCGCCACCCTGGAGCTTTAGCAGTTGGAAAAGGAGAGCTTGGAGATCAGCGGTGTAGATCTCATCCGTCTGGACACCTTTATCTTCTGGACCAAAGGGGTCGCTTGAGATATGCTCCTCGGTGCTCTTTTCCGAGACACTCGTCTCCAAGGTGGACAGTCCTGGTTGGGAAATGATCTTGGTGCCACCGTCCTGGCTTGAATCGACAGCAGTGGACATGAGAACCTGCTCCAGAATCTCTGCTCTGTTGGCCATCTCGTCATTGGCCAACAGCTCACTATCAGCCATCTCCTCCACCGCTTGTTCCTCGCCATGTAGATCCATCTCCAACTTGCCAGCGGTAGATATTTCTGAAGACTCACAGATAAAGTCTAACGTCAGCTCATCCTGTAAGTAGCAGCCATTCTGCGCTAACTCCATGTTGTGGAGTAAGGACTCCAGCTTCCTGTTTTGGATGTTTATGTCGATGAAGTACTTCTGGATGCCCTTGTCCTTCTCCACAAGGCTGTTCTTCATAGTTTCCACCACTTGGCGCAGCTGCTTGATCTCTTTGCGTGCTTCTTTAAGAGCAAGCTGAGCTTCCACACGGTGACATTCCTCCTCTATCCAGTCCTCCCGCATACGCCCCAGTTGGGACTTCAGCTCCTCAATCTCAGTCTCCCTGTAACCCATCAATGTGATATCAGTGTTTGAATTGTGTCAGAGCTCTTGAGGGAATTGCAATTAAAAATCTCATTCGTTTCAGTTTTAGTTGAATAACTTGACCTCAATGCTGCCTTTTCTTGTAGTTTTACTAGAACATAATCATGCAGTGACTACTAACTAACATTAGCTGAATATCTAACTGTTCGGAGGTAAAAACAGGGATTAGTATAGTGATGAATGTGTATGAACAATCATACAATAATGAAAACTGGGCATTTTAACAGATTTCCAATGGAAAATTTGTTCTTAAAGAAACAAAATGTAAGAGTTTTTTTTTAACTTTTAGTATGAATATGTTAGCCTTAAAGTTATGAATAAGCTGGTGTGTTCCAAAACAAAGACAAAATGTGCATTTAGGAGATGTAAGCATTCAAAACTTACAGTCTCTCACTTCCGCTAAAATGGATCACGGATTTTATGACATCACCGCGTACTTCAGCTTCTCATCACATCTTCCGTCCAATCAAATGCTCTCTAGAATCTGAAGCGTCCCACTCCCTATGCTATAAATATACTACCTGGCCAAAGCGACCGTTGACACATCACGGAGCAATATGGGTTGGAGATGTGTGTTCGGTTGCTCAAACGCTCGAGTTTTATTCCGTGAAATGATACGAGAATGAAATGAATTTATTCACACCTCTACTATCAAATCCAACGTATCATCGCTTCCATGGTGCTGTCAAGTACGATTTGCAGTCTGTGAGGTAAACTAAACGCTATTGGCCATTTGAAAAGGGGGAGGAGCCATTCAATATCAGCTTCCTGTTTCAGTGGAAATTACGTCAACGCATCATACAAAGCTGCGCGTTCCAAGGCACTTCAGTGAGCCTTTAAGGGAGTCCCCTAACTAATCCCATCAATTTGAACACAGTGACATATTAGCCCATGTATGTCAAAGCAGAGTCTTACCGGTCAGAAACTGTGTTCTGTGAGTCTCTGAGCTTGGTCTTGAGGTGTCGTATGGATACCTCTTTCTGCTGTAGAGGGGTAAGGTACTGCTCTGGATTGGGAGGCTTGATGCCATGATTGTCTCCGCAGGAATGGTAGCGCACAGGAGTAGTTCTTCTGAAAGTAAAAACAGGTTTACCTTTTTAAAATGTGATGCAGCATGGTAATATGAAAGCTACAACAAGAGCTTAAGTAATGCTACATGGCCTGTTGTGTCTGTAATCAGTTCCTGTTTCCAATGCAAAATCTAAAATGTTCAAGCTTTTCTAATATGAAAAACTTCATAGAGCATACATTACACAAGTCATCACAACTAACTTTATTTTGTCAATTAAATTTAGTTTACGTCAGTGGTTCTCAACATGTGGGTCGTGACACAAAAATGGACTGCAGTACTGTTCAGGGGTGAGTTTCTTATACAACGACGCAACTCGCTGCTTAACTACCATAGTACGGTGCATCGTTGAAGATATCAACTAGCTAGTTACGACTGTTTCCCGAAACCGTATTGTCGCAAATTTGTAGTTCAACCGCGTTGGTTAATTATGTCACACAGGTGGTGGAGTAATAACTTCTTTTAATGAATCAGTTTGAGATCGAATTAATGCCAGATTCTTGCCATGAATTACGGACATGGCAGTCCACACATAATGCAAACAAGAAACTGTGCTTCACAGGTCGAGAGCTGTCGTTCCAACCACATAACTTTGCGATGCTGTTTGCGAATGTTCGTTGGAACTATGGTTTCGGGAAACACAGACTCGTTGATCTATGCTGATTACGAAGGAACTTGCGACCATAGTTGGCTAACGATGCTTTTGGGAAACGCACCCCATGGTCAATAGAGAGAGGGGAAAAAAACCTAAACAATCATGCATTAGACAGCAAAATATTAAATAAAATTATTAAATGTATATATAATATAAGTTTAAATTTACATAATTTAATAATTTTATTTAATATTTTGCTGTAAAAACGTACAGCAATATACCGATATAAAATACAGCATATATATATATATACTTACAGCACATATATATAAAATTAAGGACATGTATTATATGATAAACAATTTTAGTACTGTCGCCATTTGATCTTGAAAGAAAGAAAGAAAGAAAGAAAGAAAGAAAGAAAGAAAGAAAGAAAGAAAGAAAGAAAGAAAGAAAGAAAGAAAGAAAGAAAGAAAGAAAGAATCAAAGTAATGGCCCTGTTATCTGACTAGAGGCACAATCTCCTAGCAACCTGCTAAGTTGCTTTGAAGTCAAATTTGCATCTGTGCCAGAGATGGAACAATAGAAGAACAAACAAGGACTCTGAAAAAGCCCAGGCAGGCATTACAGAGCACACACATTCTGTGCTTGGATAAAAAAAGAATCAAAATGGGGAGTGTGGGTTATAAAAAAACAAATAAATGGAAGCTGTATATACCAGAATGACCCAGAATCACTCCTTTCCACCATGTCAGCAGGAATACCCACTGTTTTTTTTTTTTTTACCCTCCATCCCATAAAAAGGAAAGTTAAAAATCCAGAAACACCTCATCATGCTATTAACAAGCAAAACGACACTCCCTGACTGCGCACACATTAAATATTAATGCCCCCCTCACCCTCTCTACAAACACTTGGCACTGAAAAACACTTTACTCCCATCAGCCAGTCAACAGCTTTGCTGTCTGCATGGGCAAAATGAGAGCAGACAATTTTGTCAAAATCCCCACAAAGCCTCGCAGAGCCAAACCGTGACCAATCTAATCCTTTATTCTGTGAAGAGTTTGGGGACACGATAACACACTATCTGTATGGTGCCTGAGCCCTCAGCCTCCTTTCTGTCTGTTTGTTGGTTTCTGCCCCTGGTTCATACCTTCTGGTAGAGCTGGAGTTGGTACTGCTGTTGGTGACAGAAGGGGCTTTGAGGGGCATCCTGTATGGGGCATAAAGCTCTGCGTCGCGAGAGGCGGTGGGGCTTCCCACGGGCTTAAACACAGGCAGGCTCCTGATGTGAGGCTCACGACTGAGGGAGATAAGAGCAAGCAAACAGGACAGGACTGTGTCATTATGGGAAAGACATGTAGGCTATCTTTGGAATAAAAAACAACCATGCAACACATTCTATCAGAATGCATGGAACTTACTACTGTACATTTGCCAAAATGTGCATCATGCTTAACTTGAACTTGTTCGCCATATGTACACCATTTGCTGAATTTAACATGCATGTAATGAGATCATGTGACAACAATGATAAATCATTGTTTAATGCACACGATTTTATTTTTAAAAAAGTTTTGTTTTGTTTGAGGCAACATGCAAAATTGTAAGACGACTTGGATGAAATATCAAATCGTACAGAAACCCCCCCCCCCCCGAATATCAGCCATCTTGTATTAGGCTACAGATACAGTGCATAAAATAAAGCATAAACCATACCTGCGAGAAGATGAGATCTTCCCTGTGGAGTTGCTGGGCAGAGTTTCACGTGTCTTGTAGCTTCCAGTGCTGCTAGATGAGCTGAAATCTGTCTCACTGACTACAGTGCAAAAAATGGAGATCAAAAGTTTAAAGTTTCCTCTAAAAAAAAAAAAAAAAAAACTTTAACATCAGTACAACTTTTTCCATTCAATGACATCCAAAAAAGACAGTGTGGAAGTATAGACTTCAAACCTAGCAAATGCACAACCCAAGCACATTTCCAATTGTATTTCCAGTAGCCAGAGGCTAGAGGCTTGTCAGAGGATATAGGGTTACACACGACAAACACTGTCTGCTTCCATCATGGAAGAACTATAGCTGGGAAAGTTCTTTCACATTTGATTTCTCTTGAATATCACCTTAGCTGCAAACATAGTTAGCATTAGCACTTAGACCACCGTTTCTTCTTTGACAGCCATTCAAAAGTAATGTATTCCATCTTGCAAGCAACATATTAATTTCAAAAATATATATATTTTAGGTTTTACCAGTGCAAGGGTTCTTAAAAGCATGAAATATTCTTATATTTTTTCCCTGTGTCCTGCAAAGAGATCTAACATTGAGTACGTACTTCCTGGAACTTCCATTGAGATGAAGTAGGAATGCGAAGAGATAACTCTCTGAACTATATTAGACATCCTTATATCAGATCAAGACATGTTTCAGATAATGCAGTATATTTGGGGAAGAAAAATAAATAAATAAATCTATTTAAGCATTTCATTCTAAAAGAGGTGACTGAAAGACAAGGAGAGATCATGTGACAGATCGTGTGCCAAGGATACTGGGGGTAAGATAATTCAAGATCTTCATTTTTTCTAAAGTTTCCCCCAAAAATATACATACACACCTGAGAAGCATCTCTTTCCTTTTGACAAAACCATGATAAAGTGTACTTTTTTAAATGTGCTACCAACTAAATAACCGAACAAATGTGATAACTCACTAACAATCACAAAATTGTGCAGTTGCTCAATACAAATCAAGCTCAAATGCTGTGGATTCTCACAAGCAGTGGGAGGAGCCATCTACTTTTAATTGCACTGATTGGCCATCTACAAGCCAACCAATCAGTGGCCTCAATGAGACAGGGTAATCAAGCTAATGGCACCTGCTGCTTCCTGGATTGTGTTGCCTCCAATTATTTATGCCTTCAAAGTAAAGACATGAGAGAAACCCAGTCTCAAAATTCAGTCTTTATAGGATAGGGGTGTAAGAAATTATACACTTAAGGAATTATTAGAAGGAACAAATTATACAATACACAAAAAAGTTTTCACATTTTTATAAATGACACAGAACTGGTAAGAAAGATATACATTTTTTTTTTTTTTTTATCAAGTGTATTCTATCAAGTAGTGCTCCATACTCCAATCCAGTAGGTGGCGGACAATGCACCTTAAAGTTGGTTTGCCAACCGCCATTTAAACGACAGAAGAAGAAGAAGACGAAGAAGAACCCAAGCTGCGTCCCAATGTGCATACTATGCCCTAAATAGTATTGAAAATTACTAATGTCACTTACTATTTAGGATGGATACTAGTATGCACATTGGGACGCAGCTCCAGTCTCAAGAACATCTAAATAGATTAAACAGGCAGGTGTGACCATCACATTAAATAAATGAATTACGCATCATACTTTCAAAGTAAGAAACAGGGAGCTAGGAAATAGAACTGCATGTGTTTACATGTTTGTGCTTGCATCCCAGTGGATGAGGTTGATAAGGATTTCATGCACAAACTTTCCTTGTAACTAGTCGTGGTTGTTTTAGTGACTAACCAAACATTAGCTTTCTAAACCTAATCATTCTAATTTGACATACTTTTCTGAATACAGAAAAACATGCGGTTCTATAAACATTCACTCAAAGCATGACTATTTGGCCTGATATTATAATCATGTAAATCACATATCTATCAAAAGATCATGTTTTTTTATTCCGATTGATTGTAAAGTGTCCATGAGCATCAGAAATGCACTATATAAAATATAGCCTAATAATAATTATGACTATTATTTGAATAGATAACTTTTAGAATATAAAAAGTAGCTATAGCAGAAGTAAAATGACCTTTATGCATGATGGAGGCAGGCTGTTGCTTCTCTCTCTTGTGCTTCTGTGTGGGTTCGCTCCACTCGGCCACTACGTTCATCCGAACTCTCTTCACTTTGACCGTGCGCTCTCCCAGAGAGGGCGAACCCATTGGACTGTTGTCAGAGCCTGAGAGGGTCTTGGTTGGTGATGCACATTGACTGCTTGGGCATCCAGTATCATCTGAGAAGACAGATCCATGTTTAAATACTGCTCCACAATGATGTAACACACATTTAAAAGTTATGCTATAGTGCTTTTCCTTATCGGAAAGGTCAACTGCACTAGGACATCAACACACAAAATCCATCATACAGCAAATAATGACATTTCAGTGCTCATTTATTTATCTAATACTACATTATACTTGGAATCAAATTCCCAAGTATCCTATCAGGATCCTATCAACCTCACATGGCCTACCAGAGGACAGGCTGTTTGGGCTGATGGTTCTTTTCGAGTGCTGGGAGCTAATGTCAAAATCCTTGCTCTCCTCTTCTGACAATGGCATGTTGGACACCGATGACTCCTTTGCTTTAGTACGCAAGGGGTGGAGGACAAATCGAGGGATACGGCTGCGCATGCTTCCCTTTCCCTTCACCTGCAGGAAATGGAATATTGATAACTGGTGGTGCTACGATTACATAGAGACAAGCAACCGGCATCCCAGGTGAGTTATTTAACCTTTTTTAAAGCTGATATTGAGCTGAATTATGCTTGCGTCCTTAAAGTTATTTCAGTATGCAATGCAAGTCTTGCATGCTTGTCTCGCTGTAAGGAAAATGGGTTTGGGAAGGAAAAGGAAAGTAAGGGAAATGATTTAAAGTTAAGATAGTAAAGCACCTCATATATCTGCAAAGGTCCCATTCTTCTTAAATAGGGAATACTTCAAGTAAAACTGTAAAAAAGAAAGAAAGAAAGAAAGAAAAGGAAACGGGTTATTTGAGCATGAAGTGATGGTATGACAAGCAAACCAGAAAAAGAAAGATAACAGTGCACAAAATTAGGTCATTCCACAAGATGCCAGGCTGTTTTAACCCAATTCATGAATGGCTCTATAAATAGAATGAAGCTTATATGTCTGAAATTGAAGTATGATTCTAAATGTCCAAACAAGACAAATGACCCCATCAGCCACCCACTAAATCTAAATTAATTTCACTAGTGCTTGGAATTTAAACTGCAGGAACTCTTATTCTGAATTAATCCAGTGCTCTTATTTAACATGATTCATTTGACGGTCGGTGAATTTAGCGAGTGTTATGTAAAAGGCTTTGCACTTTGAGAAGGAAGTAATATAGTCAATTTAATCCTTGTCTGTTTTTTGAGAGATGATAAAACCCCACCCTTCTGGTTAACTTATTTAACTGCTTTGGGTGCTCCAGATCTGCTCATAACTAACAGACCAAAACATGCTTCTGACTCATTTAATATAACGTATCACGCTTGATTGACTATGACGTCATCGGTCCATTTCCTGTTGTGTATGTGTGACTTGTTCTTCAGTATCTTTTTGATGTTGGTTATGTAAGGGTTAGAGTTGCTTTCAGTGCGGATGACGTAATTGACCCCTTAGGTTTCACGAAAAGCTGCGTTCTTGCCTCTTTCCATTTTGCATCCGGATGCCATGTTTCATTACAAAAGAAGTCAAAGCACAACCTTTATGTAGGTTTCCCATTCCTTTCAGATATGGAAAACATGTTTCTTGATTTTGAGTATCTTATGTCACTGCATTGTTATAAATTATGAAGTATTAAGCCACTTTTTAAAAATCGTTTATGCTTAATTTAAAGAAAAAATAGGTTGTGTGAACTGTTTTGAAAATGTACACTACCAATTTAAATGTTTGGAGTCTGTAAGATTTTTTTTCTGAAAGAAATTAATACTTTTTTTATAATGATATAAACTATTTCTATTTTAAAAAATGCTATTCTTTTGAACTTTCTGTTTATCAAAGAATCCTGAAATACATGTATCACAGTTTCCTAAAAATACTGAGCAGCACAACTGTTTGATTATTGATACAAAATATTTCTTGAGCAGCAAATCAGCATATTAGAATGGTTTCTGAACGATCATGTGACACTGAAGACTCTGAAAATTCAGCTTTGCCATCACAGGAATAAATTACATTTTCAAATAAATTAAAATAGAAAATACTTATTTTAAATTGTAATAAAACTTTACAATATTACCGTTTTTTGATCAAACAAATGTATGCAGCCTTGGTGAGCATAATAGACTTCTTACAAAAACATTAATAAATCTTGCCAGCCCCAAAACTTTTGAACATTAGTGTCGATTATTATTATTTTTTTTGCCTTATTCAATTAGCTATCAAAATATTTTGACTGTCAAATTGCCACCCATGGGAGCTAGACTGTTCTCTCTTGGAGCCCAAGTCAGAGCCTTAGCAACACAGACCTGGCAAGTGGCAACACAGAGAAACAGAGCCTTTAAAGAAGCCAGATAGTGGTCAGTGAGTGACACTAGGCAGCCATTCACTTAACTGATGTCTTGTGTCAGGACAAGAAGCTTAGTGTTTTTACTCCTTGTCAGCCTAATAGAAAAGCTGAGACTATAGTTTCAGCCTGACACAGTTAGAAGTTACTGATGCAATCTCTCTTCAATCACCTTATCCATCTTATATGGAAATGACTGGCTTGATGTGATAAACAGGAGTGAAGTCACAGTTAGGTTATATTCATTGAATCACAACAGCTTATGTAATGTTGCTCATATTTAATTAAGAAAAATGATTTCATGCATAAAACATGACAGTAAAAATCAACATCATCTTAGATATTATTCTTTAGCCTTTTTATATTTAAAATATACTGTAAATTTGAACTACTTTTTAGTTCCGATATGCAGAAATACAAGTAAACAGACTGTCCTCTGGCTACTAACCTAGTCAACACAACACATTGAGATCTAGAGACACTAAATTTAGTTGCCTCAGCACCAGTGACTCCTCATTCTGTCATTAGTCCTCTAAAGCAACGATGACTCAATGTTATTGGAGACAGAGAGTAATGTGCACAAATGCATTTGATACTGGCTTTGAGTGCTTTCTCTGCTTACTTGTTTTAGTGTTGCCATTTGAGCTTGACCACAAAAGACGATGCCTAAATACAGGTTGACAATGTACATTAGGCAGTGAGTACAAATCGCAGCAATTCCTTTTCTCTAGTTGCTTCTCTTTTAGTCTACACACTGTGCAGCATTCCATACATTTTTAACTGACTAGGATTTTTTTGTTGCAGCAGATGTGAAATTTCTATTTCCAGTGAGAATTCAGTACACTCTAATACTTTTTGGTGATATTTCTACCAGCTTTTGAGAAATATATAAAAATAAGAATATGTTCTTAAGTAACTTGCCTGGTTTAATAAATAAAGGTTAACTTTTTTTAACACACTGTATAGTGATTTATAGCGTTCTGTGTTTTTTCTTTCCGCTTTCCCACAAAGGACAGATGTTTTATAATATTTTGGCTTGCAAAAATGAATCTCAATTAAAACAAAGTTGATTAAGTTACCTGACTGACAAACGTTGACGCTTCTGCCCCACCTAAACAGCAAATATGCATCAAAAACACGATTTAAAATAAACTGCTTTTCTAATGACACAATTTTATGTTATTCCTATTGTTTCTTCAAAATAAACATCAATCTTACACAATGCGTTAAACAATAGCAGTATTGTTTAACGCATTTGTGTACACAATAACACAGTGTTATTCAGATTTAGAGCAAACGTGTTGAATTGAAGCTTCCGTACCAATGTCTTTTTCGAATTAAAAATAGTTCTATCAAATAATATATAATATAACATTCTTTTCGTTAATATATTTTCGTAAAAAAAAAACCGCTGTGGAAAACAACAGTGTGACGCAGTAAGTAAATACACTTGCCTCGTGAAGTGCTGAATGGATTCCTGTGAGTGAGAGTGAAGGATGCGCAGCTCCGTATCCCTTCAGAACAACACAATGCGCGCTCTCGGTCCTCTGCTCTTGTTTTGATCTGATGTGAAGGACTCTCAGCCTCTGTCTGCGTGAGAAGCCAGATTATTCCGCACAGCACATCTCAGTGCATCAGTGTTTGTGCTCAAGCAGAAGAGACTGAGGAGATTGACATCGCCAGTACGACGTGAATGTTCCAAGTGTGTTATGTAACGACTCCGAGCAGCAAGAATTAACTCTTACGTGCCCGAGTGAGATTTAACAAGTCGGTTTTATTGACGTGCACGGTTCACAGCCTATACTGATGACAGTAGTTATTTGGCTTAATGTTTATCAAAAGTGACTACAAGTCCCATTGTTTTAGAGTAGTGATGGATGGTTAGTGGATTGGGGTTGAGTCTGACCTGCAACCTTTTATTTACCAGCATAGTTCTTTCACCACACCCCATGGTGTTTTTATTCCTTATCATAATAGACAGTTTTATAACAGCTTTCTTACCAAGAAGTGACTCCATATGATTCCTCTTTATTCCTAAAATAAATAGAAATAAATAAGCTCGTGCGGAAAATGCAAAAACATTTTTACTTTAATATTTTTGCTTGTGGATATTTTCTTGTGCTTATTCGTTTATTTTTATGTTAAGAAAAAAGTACTTATTAATTTATTTTTAATTAATAAAATAACATAAAACAAAAATGCACTAAAGAAAATAATTTTGTATTTCAATCCAAAGATCTACAATAAATTTTTTTAAATAAATATAGCAGTCTCATTCAGTATCAACATTATCAACATCAGAATGAAAACTCTACACAACTTTTAATAGGATGCACCAGGTAAATGACTTGTTGGTTATGCTATAGCCATACTTTGTCAACAATACCACTACTTTTTTTTTTTTAAATACCAAACCAAAAGTAGCATAAAACTTTATTCATGTATCTTTCAAATTAACACTTGAAGTGTTTGAATCAAGTACATTCTCTATTATTCCTACAAATCCAGCCTAAAATGGTTTAGGATCGTAGGCTGTCCAACTGACCTGCTAAAAAGTGCCCAAAACTCATCTTAAATTGACCGGGCTGGGAGACCATCTGAGATGAGAAAATCAGCTTAAGCTGATTTAAGATGTTTATTATCGGTATAGGGTTCTTACTTGAGTAGCACTGCTGACAGAAAAGACTGAGTGCAGTTGAGTGGAGACGTCGGCTCTCCATGGTGCTGAAGTCAACTCACCAAACTATGAGATCCCATCCCACCCTCCCTTCAGAGCGTCTCCAAAGCCACGCCTCCTTTAAAGCACATGAACGTGCGCACACAGCAGCGTCTGCAAAGCATTACAAGACGAGAGATGGCGTTAAATTACCTCATGTCTCAAAGCACATAACATTACAATAAGAATGAATGTAAACAACATACAGTGCTATAGTTGTACCACCTAACTTCTGTAGATTCATTTCAGCGTTAATAGTGTTGATATAGCATAAATCAGGTTGCCATCTTGTAATTACAGTTAAGACGTAAACGCAGTATAAGCTCGTTGTTTTGGTTCAGGATGACTGTAAACAAAAACAGCTGCTTTTTCTTTGTGGCGTTCGGCGACTGTCTGTCTACAACTCTGATAGCCTTACTGAACACGCTGTGTGATGTCTGCATGAGCAGGGTGCGAGGAGGTATGGAAATATGTTGACAGGGACATCGTAGCATTGAACATTTTTGGTCCGGTGACTGCCACAGAGGAATAAGCCTATGTACATTCAGTCCACTTCTATTATTGATTGTTATCAGGATATGAGAGTTTCAACCAGCATAACAAAAAGTGTTTGTAAAACAAATTGCTATACCCTACCTTTAACGCAACAAATTAAGTTACCCAAGGAAGCCAACTCTGACTGATTGAATATATCTGCTGTTTGTCATATGATGGTCGCGCAATAATAATAATATGGTGTTTCACTGCCCTCTGCTGGTAGATATTCGAACGACAAGTGACGTTTCACTGTTTCAATTATTAAAGTGTACTAAAGTGTGATGGAGTGAGTACTGATGCATTTGTTGTAGGCGCTGTCTATCCTAATGTAAAAAATTTTTTTGTAATAAAGTATCTTTATACAAATATGTACAAGGTTTCATGTTATTTACTAATTGTGTTGTGGGAAAATAATGAAACTAGCCTATGCAATGTGATAGGTTGTCATGCTGAACTGAACATGTGTTTTATATGAAAACGAATACCATTTATTTTGCCTAAAACAATGTCTACCTGTTACATTCTTGCTGTTTCATGATTTTCTTTAGTTTTTTTTTTTCAGATTTGTTTACATTTTTGCCCGTTTAAAGACAGATTATATTCTGTCTCAACAATGGTGCATGCAAATATGGAGAAAATGACTTAAAATTAACTTTCCCTGAGAAATCTTCAACGAAATGTGACAGCTAGCCCCCAGTCTCCCATGTATGTGTCTGACCATCTTTGTTGTGTTAGTTTTGAAAAATGTTATGAAGTTTAAATCGACCTATAGTACACACACTAACTCAACATGAATTTTGCTGGCTTCGGAGGCTTTTCTCAGATTTCTATTCTGCCGGGTTTTTTTCTTCCAAAATGCAACATTATTGCAATGGATAACCGCAAGGAGGCAGTGCAGCGCAAGGTAACGGGACATTTGAAACCGGAGAATTAACAGTGTCTTGCAGCCGCTTATTCTGAGGATAGAAGTGAGACGACTAGTTACAATAAATTCTTTCAGCTTTAGGACTTTAACATACGCATGAGACAAGACTGTCTGGAAATAAATAGCCTATGTCCATAGATTAATAGAGTTGTATTACGTTGAAGATTGAAACTTCCAAAAGATTAAAGTTATTTACCAGACCAGACATTCTCAACTGACCTGCAAATAAGTTCTCTATTTCGACATTTCATATGAATGGTATTGATCTATTAAGCAACTTCTTTGTAAATTGGTGCAGTTCTTCGCGAGACGAAGCGCCCTGCAGGGATGCGCTTTCGCACCATGATCAGCCAGTGCAGTTGATCTGTGAATATTTTTGTCAACCTGTTAACCTCTGTCAACATGTTAGTCTACTTGGAAGACCTGGCATCCTGTTGCGTTGCCTGGTGCAGAGACGGAGATTAGCCTAATGACTTATTTTCCTTTCAGGACAGACTCCTGACACCGAGCAATTGTTGTAGGCTACATAGTATTTTATTAATTTCTGAGACCAAATTTTTTATTTTTAAGCTCTACCCTGTCCTTAAGAGCACATATAATTTCTAAATGTACAATTATAATCATATTAGATTCAGTTTTTAAAAAAAGAATAATTAAGAAAGTAGGCTACATTCATTCTAATATATTATTATTATGTTATTGTTATGTATCGCTATTATGTAGCCTAAAATGCCTAATAATAATAATAATCATCATCATCATCATATAGCCTAATACGTTCACAACTGCTACTACTATACTACTACTAATATTTTTTACATTTTTATACAGAAAAAATAAAATAAAATAAAAATAACCGACAACAACTCAGAAGGTTTTCAGAGAGTCTGGAGAAGTTCTCCAATAAATACTGGAGCTTCTGTGTAGTGGGCGTGACTCGTGAGTGAGTGAGTGTGTGTCTCCAGCCTCGCACTCTTGAGCGTACAGCGCACTTCACTTGAGACACGCAACACGGATCTCACGCTTTCCGCGTTCGTGAGACAAACACAAACCAAAAAAACAAAACAAAACAAAAAACTCCCGGCTTCACTAGGAGACACGGCTCGGCTTCACTTTTGGGGGGGACAGTAACACCATGGATGCCTTGAGAGCAGTCGCCTTTTACACGCTCTTCATTTTCCTTTGGAGTTTACCGTGTTGCCAGTCAGCTGCGCTTCTATCGCAGAAAAGGAGCAAGGGTGCCAGGAGCGCGTATGATGGACAAAGGTCACCCAAATTTCTTAAAGAGATTTTCGCATCCTCCCCGGGCGTGAGTCGTCGGGATGACTTAAAGGACCCGGTTGTGCCCCACGATTACATGATCTCTATATACAGGACTTACTCCGCTGCTGAAAAACTGGGGCTCAATGCAAGCTTTTTCCGCTCTTCAAAGTCTGCAAATACCATAACGAGTTTTGTAGACAGGGGAAAAGGTTTGTTTTGTTTTATTCTCTTGTCCATGCATTATGTGCACTATGCACTCTAGCATTTTCAGTCTTTATTAACTATTCTTCTTTCTTGAAATCTTTATATAGCCTATAATCATTTTAAAATGATGTAAGATATGCTTTAAAACACGCAGACTTGTAAAGCAATAACTTTTTAGTAAAAAAAAAAAAAACTAATTTGCGCTAAAAAAATGATCTAGATTATTGTTAAAAGGGAAAATAATGATATCTTCCGTTGAAATTGGAGGAATAATTTTCAGGGTTTGTTCATGTGCTAATGGTTTGGTAATCACTCGTCCTGGGCCGCAATTTATTGGTCAGCACGACCTCATATTTTGGCTAGTATAAAGTTATATTGGCTTTACATTGACCCGAAGGTAACGTGCCAATAAAACACTAATTGGTCCGTTTTCTAAATGAAGGCAATAAATCATTCCCTTAACATCCTCGCGTGCAAGCAGTCTCACAAACGGTTCTCACAAACCTCACGAGGAAAAATTACTTGCATGCGCACATAATATATTATTAAATTGGCTCTTTTTTTGACCTGAAAGGAAATATTTGTATTTCTACAAAACGGAAAAAATCTTCTTTTTTTTTTTGCTTTTAAAAGTAAAAAAAAAAACTTTTAATCCAGTTTAGAGTTCCCAAGTGGATTCTTTTATTTACTAATGCTGTGCGTATTATTTGCAGTTAAATTGTATTTACTTGCAACAAAGTAATTGTGTGAACATTGTGGAGACAAACGAAAACATGCAATAAAAAGAGCAAGTCGGCGCAAACATTGCACTTTTCGTTTGCAGATAAACGCGCTCGCAGAAAGAAGAGAAGCGCACACTGATTTTATGAAAAAAGCTTCACTTTCCTCACTGATTTTGATTTGATGTGTCATTGGCTATGACCCTTCACTGGACCCTCTGAGGGTTGCTTTGCATCAAACCGCTGATTGGAGTATTTGAACTGGGTGATCTAATTGAGTGTCCATGTCATAACATATCAAACACTGTCTATTCTCCCGTAATGAACTAGTTCAGCTAGTGGCACATCACCAAAAGAGGAGAGCGAAAACTGGAGAGGACCTTACGTCTGTTCAAGTTTGAAGAATTGTTAGGCTACTTTATGGACATGTTGCTGGCTTTATAGCATTCAAATTGTGGATAGTTTAGTGCATTACGCGGGGGTACAGATCAAAACTTTTTTATAAGCATCTTAAAGTGCAGTAGCAATCGGTGTGTAACATTTACCGTCAGTGCTTAATGCAAAATCATACTGTTCTAGTTGCCTGGCTGCACTACAGTGTCTTGGCTATATGCGCCATGCGCGTCATTCGCTGCTGAATGTCATCAAGAATCATTTCCACTCAAGCGCCGTTCAATTATGATAAGGCGGTAATCTTTTTGTGTAACAGGAAGGAATTTCCTCCAAAACAGATAAGACATTTCCCCAAATTTTAGATCGTTATGGTTGCAAGATCAGACAAGAACAAACGGAATGTATGAAAATTACTTTTGGCACTTGTAAGTAACTCATTAAAACGCAGATGGTGCCCCGGTAGCCACACCAAGAGAACTCTCTCTCTCTCTCTCTCTCTCTCTCTCTCTCTCTCTCTCTCTCTCTCTCTCTCTCTCTCTCTCTCTCTCTCTCTCTCTCTCTCTCTCTCTCTCTCTCTCTCTCTCTCTCTCTCGTCCAACAGATTCGAATTATTGGACAAGAATGTTCATTGATCAAAAGCGTAAGATTGTGTGGCTGGGATGATTTATGAATTTATGTTCGTGGCTAAACTTGCCTCACCTATCTGTTTAGGCCGTCGCGTAAACTCGTCCAACTCTTGCTGCATGCAATTGCATTTTATACGGGCAGTAATCACTTTTGAAGCGGTATGTTTGTTTTTGGCAGAAGGGATGAAATATAAGAGGGGTGCACTTCAGTGGGGTGGGAGGGAATTTGGAACTGTTAATTATTTGGTGACCTTGTATTCGATTTGTTTGTGGTCTTATAAAAACGCAATTGTGGAACCATACGTGCATTCAATTTGAATCATTTTACAAGTTCACGCACGGCCAAAAGTCGCATAGCCTATTATTATTATTATTTGATTTCGATTTATTTGTTCTAAATGGCCATTAAAAAAAGGCTTTGAGGTTTGAATTGATTTTAATGCAGTGCATTTTTGTATTTCTGAACATTAAAAAGCAATCTGCTCTCGAACAGCCAAATTAAAATTAATGGTGTTATTGGAAATTATGCACGTATTTATCTGGCATTTTTGTTCAGGCTAAATTATATATGTGCTCGAGGCGTATTTGGAGCGATAATAGTCTAACAGTTCAACTACATTTCTTACATACACAAGCCCACGTGAATTCAGATAAATGCTTCTCGTTTGGTCCGTCAGAGAGATAAAAGGCGGTGATAAAGTGCGACTAGGCCTCTGGATTCCTGAAGGGGAAAGAATGCATTAATTGTGCATTGTTCAACACGTACAGTATGTCGCTTTGTGTCTGGCGCACTCTTTCCCCCACTCTTTCTTTCTCTCTCCCTCACTATAGCTAACAGATCTCTCTTATTATCACCTGCACATATTTATGAAAAAATATTTTGCTAACAGTTTACCCTAGACAGGAATAATGAAAAATATATATAGCTACCCACATGCTATGATTTATAAAAATGGGATAAAGTTTCAAAATATAATGAAAACCCCGCTTTAGATTCACATGATATATTTTTTTAATTTTGTAATTGTTCATGGTGCTTTATAGCCCCAGAGACCAATGCTGATCTGAAGAACCTGTAAAGTACCGCCAATAACTTATTTTGAATCCCAAACGACAAATGTAGCCAAAAGTGTTTATTCAAGCTTGCTATACCTGAAGAACGGAGGGAAACCAAAAAAGAAAAAAAGAAGAAAAAAAAGAAGATATCTCTGAAAATATTGGACAACAAATTTGTGGGCTATACTGCTGTTTCATCATGTTCATTTAGTTTCTCCTTGATTTTTTCCTTCATACAATTTAGTGTGAGTTTGCCCAACTTTCCAACTAAAATAAACCTGAAAATAAGGCGTTTTAGAATGTGAGTCAGCAGAGAAATTATTTAACCATCCATCTTCCTTTTATTTTTACGACAAGCAGCATTAAAATATTGATAAAATATTTTAAAATGTTGTATATGCTTGTTACGGTTACCAAACATTTTAGAAAAACAAAAATTAAAATATTTATCTAAAACGACGAAACTGTGAGTTAAGCTATTGCATCTTCTTCATCATATTCGTTTCTTTCTCTCTCTCTCTCTTAAATTAGCTATCTCTTATGCTTAATTTTGTATATATTTTTTCCTCTGTTCAACTTTGTTCAACAAAGACTAAAAGAAAGCCGAAAATAAGGCTTTAGGTTTTACCTGGCCTCTTTATTAGAATGTGAGTCACTCTAAGTGAATCTGACTGCAATTATTTCTCTTTATCTTGCAGACGATCTCACGCTCTCTCCTTTGCAAAGACAAACTTATCTGTTTGATGTCTCAACTCTCTCAGACAAAGAGGAGCTGGTCGGTGCTGAATTAAGGATATTTCGCAAAGCGCCCGGGGATGTCCAAGCGTCCCCATCAGGCGTCTACAACATTCATTTACTCTCATGTCGATCAGAGAGGCCACTGGCTTCCAGATCCCTTGATCTTCAGGATTCCCGAAAAACAGAATGGGAGGTTCTGGACGTTTGGGGGATTTTTAAAAACAGGCATCAAGGGAATCAGCTTTGTCTCCAGCTCAAGGTTACGCATGGCAAAACTGACACTGAAATCGACCTAAAGCAACTGGGTTTGCACCGGCACGGCCGAACGCAGCAAGAAAAGGCCATTTTGGTGGTCTACACGCGGTCTAGGAAGAGAGAAAATTTGTTTAATGAGATGAAAGAGAAGATCAAGTCTCGCGGAGACCATGAGGAGGAGGAGGAGAGCGCGCTGCAGTTTAAAGCGCGGCGCAGACGGAGAACTGCGCTCAATAATCGCCATGGGAAAAGGCATGGCAAAAAGTCCAAATCGAGATGCAGCAAAAAGGCACTGCATGTTAATTTCAAAGAGCTGGGATGGGACGACTGGATCATCGCTCCCCTGGATTACGAAGCCTACCACTGCGAGGGGGTGTGCGACTTCCCATTGAGGTCGCACCTGGAGCCGACCAACCACGCCATCATTCAGACGCTCATGAACTCCATGGACCCCAACAGCACGCCACCGAGCTGTTGCGTCCCCACAAAACTCAGTCCCATCAGTATACTATACATAGACTCCGGCAACAACGTCGTGTACAAACAGTACGAGGACATGGTGGTCGAACAGTGTGGCTGTAGGTAGCGAATCACACACGAGGGTTTGGCACCAAGGCATAAAAAAAACAAAAACAAAAACCACTTGAACGATGCGTAAAGACGCGCTTGAGCCGCCCAAACTGCGCATTCTCACCTATGCAAAAGGGATTCTTCATCAGAGACATTTTGACATTTTAAATGATCTACACCGGCCAATGCTCATGGTTGTGCCAAGAGCGCGTGCATAGTTTTTCTAGACTTGGAACAAAATCTTGTCATTTTCCTTACACATGCTGGGTTTCTTTTTGTAATTACGTGCCCAAAACCCCAAATATTTCTATAACGATTCGTCTCTCGGACGAGGCAGGTAGAAGAAACGCCAGATTCAGTGCATAACCGTATGGACAGGATTGACTGAGGATTGTGTTACACCATTATCTGTGTGGACTCAGAAGAATGTGGAGACGGGCACCTGTTCAAACTCATCTGTTAGTTATATCGATAAGATACTGTATGGTATATGGATATGAATGAATGAGTAAAACACAGTGCCCTGGAAACGCTTTTTACGACCAACGATGCGTAATCGAGTCAAATTCAGGGCAAAGGTGAATGTACCAAACACTAAAGCGATTCTGCTTCATCCCTGCAGTGAGAAACAGAGAGACTGGCAGATGCTTTTGAAGGAGCATCGGACAACTGGTTTTTTGAAGTGCCTGGACATTTTTACTACGGTAAAAATCCACAAAATGTCATTTTGTACTTTCAGACAAGTCAAAAAGTGGAAATCCATCAACGTTTGCATCTTTACAAAATGCACTTCCGCAACTGTCCAAGTAGTCTGGAAGGAGCGTTTTTTCACGACCTATTGACTGACAAGAAAAGAAAAGAAAAAAAAGAGACTCGCAAGCGAGATTATATTTAAATGCACATTAGCTTTGAATGCACTGTTGTTCATTATTTGAGCTGTAAATATTTGTAAAGTAAAACCTAAAGTGCAACGTATGAAGAAATGCAAAACCACATTTCTTTGTTAATGTACATTTATAAATGCACTCAAATCGCTATAATTTCTATTCTATAATTATTTTATTATTTGTGATGTACAGAGTTTTCATGATAATCGTGTATTTCTTACGCTGATAAAACAAAATTAATTTAAAATGTATTCATTATTGCTGAGGGTGGAAATACCATTATCGATGTCTACCTCATAATTGCATAGAATATACGTCCTGAGGTGCATTCAGCTAGAGTTTAAGGTTTTTCCCAAATATATATATATAAATACAGTATATCAATGGATAATACTATATCCACACTATTACTGTACTAATAAAATGAATAAATGCACTTTGTGTGGTGCCAGTGACTCCCCAGATCCATTTAAATATTTTGTCTTTAAAAAAAAATATTTTGAATGATATATCATAGTTTTTGTTTTCTCTCATTTAGTTCCAGTTGTTAAATGTGAGAAAGTCTATCAGACAGATCAAGGTTTTCCTCTCTCTCTATATGTAGAGAAAGATATCTCCTCAAACAAAGATTTTAATGAAATGTGATTCTATTGACCGGAGTTAAAATAGTTAGTTACACTTTATTTTAAGGTGCCCATGTTACTGTGTAATTATATTACTGAATTATAATAATGGTACTTACTATAGTGTTAGGATCGGGGTGTTGTTTGGAGTTAGTTGCATGGAATTATGCACAATTTATAGTAATTCCTATAACATTTAACAAGGACACTGTAAAATAAAGTGTTACCAAATTGTTCAATCTGTAAAATTACACATAGATAAACTTTTCCTTTTATGTGTGTGTAACACATTCTTCTCCAGTTCTTTAACAGAGAAAGCAATTTTATAGGGTTAAATAATGATTATTTAATATGATTTAATAGGGTTAAATATTAATATAATGCAGCAAAAAAACTGTATATTGCAGTATTCCTGTAAACTTCATGTTGGCTTCTATCATTTCGAATGACATGTCACTTTAGTTTTTAACCACACAAATATGATGTCAATATTCTGCAGAAAAACTCAATATCTATACCAAATTGCATAGATTAGATTAAACAATTCATTCAACGGACATTGCTTTCTCATAGTTTGGGGCCTGAGAAGTCTTTTTTGTTGTTGTGTGTTTTCCCATGTAGTTTCATACAGTGTCATACGAAGTTAGAATGCTAGTTTCAGTCCTGTGTGAAGTCTTGTTTTCACTCAGCAGCTTCTTTTCATGTGTCCATCTTTTGTTTCCATTCTACTGACAGTTCCTCTTGTGAGATAATCCAGCTCTTCGCCTGATCTGTTTCACATTTTTTATTAGCTCTCAGACAGTTTAAAAACCCCATGAGAGTTCTGTGGCTCATTTTCACAGTGCATTATTAGCAGAGTTTTTATCCTCGCATACGTTTCTGCTCCAATAATCAGCTCCGCGTAATGGTGCTAATATGGCAGAGTAATGCCTTGCACAGTCACCTCTCAGTGCTTAAATAGTGTTGAAACATGTGGACCACAGAGATTTAAGGAAATACATCTCCAGCGTGGATCTGAGTGTACGAGCAACAGGCTTTTTTCCCCCAACGAATTAGCTATCCGCAGGTCAAGTTTTCTTAACACTGTAATGTTTCCCGATCTTCAGATGAAAAGGTTGAAGGCAGGGATTGCTTCCATATAGGCATCGGCCTTGGCCTGGAAGCAATTAGGAAATTGCTTTGAAATGCTATATGTTGTCCAGACTCTGTTACAGTATCATGCCACTCTACACATGTTTGTTCAAGGAGGGGGAAAAGATGCTAATGTGCCCTTTTGCTGTCTGTGCGAATGACACTTACAATGATAATATCTTTCAGAATGAGGACAGCATGTGCAGTGTCAGGTGGGATCTCATCACCCCATTACACGTCCTTTTAGAATGGATACAAACACAGGAAATCTTGCATGCAAGTTCTACCATTTTCCTGGTAACACTTTACATTAGGGTCAATTTGTTTAGCATTTGGTAATTGATTAGGTATCACAGATTTTTAACACCATTTATTAATCAGGGTTTAAATATAGTGTTTATATAAGTTCAAAGGAACATAATTGATTTGAAATAGAGTTTTTGTAACAATAAAAAAATTCATTATTGTCATTTTTGATCAACTGAATGCTTCCTTGCTGAACAAATCGTATTTAATAAAAAATATATGATTTTGTATATACATAGATACATGCATACACTACAGTTAAAACATTTGGGGTCAGTATTTTTTATTTATTCATTAAAAATAAATGAATGCCTTTATTCCTATATACAGCACACACACACACACACACACACACACACATATGTATATATATACAGGTGAAACTCGAAAAATTTGAATATAGTGCAAAAGTTCATTTATTTCAGTAATTCAACTTAAAAGCTGAAACTAATATATTATATAGACTCATTACATGCAAAGTGAAATATTTCAAGCCGTTATTTGTTATAATTTTGATAATTATTGGTTACAGATATGAAAACCTTTTCACAATATTCTAATTTTGAATTTGGGGGTTTCATATCTGTAAGCCATAATCATCAAAATTATAACAAATAAAGGCTTGAAATATCTCACTTTGCATGTAATGAGTCTATATAATATATTAGTTTCAGCTTTTAAGTTGAATTAAATGAACTTTTGCACTATATTCAAATTTTTCGAGTTTCACCTGTGTATATACTGTATATATAGTATGTATGCACGCACACATTTTCTTATGCACATTAACAAATTGGAGTATTATACATGTATTATTATATTAATCAAGATTAATAATTGTTGTATGGTAACATGTTACCATCTCCATTTATGGATTGCACTAATGTTTTATAGTGGCCAAAGATTGTGTAGAAAGACGCACATATGGCATATACTTTACTGTGGATATGATTAAAATAATGGGGATTGCTTTGCTAGATATGTCATCTTGACCATATTGTGGACTCTATTTCAGGCTTTCAAGAACTTTTGAGTATGAAAATGATCAGAATCTTTTTTTTTTTTTCTCAGAAAAGTTTTTTTTTTATAGAACATCAGTGACCTTTCAAAGGATAAAAAAGGAGACTGATTGCAGACCCGAGACTGTCTCTTATTTGATTTTGATTTATGAAATAATGGCCGGGTTCATAGAAAGAGTAGATGGAGATCGGAATGCAGGAGATACAGAGGGTGTTTAGCAAAATGGAATGCAGAGTTTACCATTCCGGGTTCCTCAGTGCATTCCTGGACTCAGTGCTGCATTAAGTAAATGGCTCTTCCTGGTCATTGGAGAGCTATCTTCTACTTTCGGGAATGCCTCTTGAGACATCACTGTTTATTTGAATGTTATGTCTAATGTGTGTGTATGTGTATTTTTGTCTTTCATAAAATTGTACAGTGAAATGCCTGGCAGAGGGACAGATACCATTCAGTGGAGTTTTGGGGAATGTTCTTCATAAATAGCCTTGACACATCACATCTGTGCACGGCGCTATCAGACAGGATTTCGACTGCGGAGGGCTCTGCTAATGCTTAATCTCAAAGATATACAGTCTTGATTCTTCCTTGATTCTGGGAAGCTCTCGTAATCTTACAAATCAATTACTGTTAATGGATTCATCAAATAGACATTAAGAAAGCATAATTCAAAAGTGGGACGGATACATTTTAATGAAATGTTAAAAGAAATATTCTGGGCCCAGTGCAAATTAAAATTATTCTGTTGGTTAGCACAACATATTTATCTAAAGCAAAAATCTGGGTTAAAGTGAGGTATACTTTCAATAAAAGTAAATGGGGCAAGTTCATTACCATTAAAATACTGTTTCAATGGCAAAAGATGTAAACATCATGTGTGTCAAGATGATTTTAGTGTGAAAAAACTTGCTTATTTCTGTGTACATTTATTCAGTTTTTACAATGTCGACTTGAAAAAAAAATGTGTAATTTAAATGGCTTTACAGCTCAAATAAAAATTCACTACTTTTTATAAAAGTATCAGCTTTACATTTCCCTCCAAAAACGGTAACCTTAATTTTTTGCTTTAAAAAACAACAAAAATCAAAACGAGATGAGCCAAAATTTACGGATCCGCTAAAGGGATGTGGTGGTGGAAATAATATGGAATGGGAGAAGAAAAAAAAATGTGACAGTTTTTGCGTTCTTTTGTTCGCAATCAAAAAACACGTACAAAACATCTGCGAGAGAACGCAAAAGCATTGACATACTATTTTTCCTTCCATCTCACTTTTTTAAAAAATTATAATCAACATTATACCACCAATGCTGCGAGTTAAATGATGGAAAACGTCACATTTTATTATAACACAATACATTTTCTCCCACTTTAAATGTCATCTTGTTAATGATTAAGATTAGAGGACACACATGTGTCAGGAGCCTGTTCATTAAATTGAATGGGAAGAGAGACGGATCAAAAGA